AGCTGTACGAAGTAGCTGTTTTTTTTTTTTTTTTTTTTTTTTTTTTTTTTCCCTTTTCCCTCTTCTTGACTTCTCAGTCGACAGCCTGAGGTTCGGATATATGGAGCGCAGCTGTCTCACAAACAATGACTTACGCTAAAACAACTCCGGCCCCGATGCGCCGGGATTCCTTGACCGAGGAGGGAAACCTCTCGGACGACTTGATGATCCCGGATCAGGATGATGCCCAGGCTTTTCTACAGCCCGCCATGAGCGCGGCAGCCAGCCATCTCACCTCTTTACACACGCCCGCAATCGAAAAGGCGGCAGCCTTGAAAGGCCTAGGAGTCAATGGCTTCTTTGACGACCCCGAGCTTCGCGTGTCCGGCGACGACACTAGAGACAGCGATGGTGACGGAGACGGAGACACAACGCCGGAAGCAGCAACATCGCCCAAGTCGCCGTCGCAATTCCCGAGAAAACCCACCATTCAGCTGGGACCTGTGCCCAAAGACGAGCCTCGACGACTTGCTCCTCCCTCTCCGTGGAAGTCTCAGCAGCTGACAAAAGACGGAGGGCACTTCAGCGACGCCCGCGGCATTCTCCAGGCTGCCTTTGAGCCCACGCGCCAACGCTCGAGATCAGCCGGTCAAGAAGCCTTGAAGAAGCTTCAACAGGCGTCGTCACACTTCCTGCCGTCTCTGCCTAAGGGGAAGTCGTTTCTGTCCAGTTTCACAGACAGCAAGCAAAGCCAGCGCAGTCGGTCGACTTCCCGACGCCTTGGCCATGCTTCGTCAGCTTCAAACTCTCCCCCCTCTCAGAGCCCAGCAAATGGACACTTGGATCCAAATGCTGCTGCTGATACAGAGTCACGGCCGCAATTGCTGCGCAGGGTGACATCGGACGACAGCATGCTCTATCACAGCCTGTCTCGCGCCTCTTCCCTGGGCGATAACGATCGCTTCACCGACGTCCGCAGCCAGGTCAACGTTCGGTTCATGGCCATCAAGGACAGCTTGCCCGACGTGCCCAACTTCAAGATGCCCAGCATTCCCAGCCTAGCCAAGCTGCAGGCGGTGTCGAGGAGGTCGACCATCTCTCTCAACAACATCTTCTTCAACGAACCAGCCACACAGTCCAAGCAGAATCTAGACCAGGAACCGACGACAAGCAGCAACGCCAAGGACGACTCGGAACGCCTCGACCGCGTGCTGGAGGAGCTGACGGGAGACATTGTCATCATGGGCGGCTACCGTGGCTCGATTCTGCGGTCTGCCGAGCCGCCTCACCAGCAGCTGTGGGCGCCGGTCAAGCTGGGGCTCAACATGCGAAAGGCCAACCTCGAGGTGGGCCTGGACGACGAGGACGAGGAGACGATGGAGGAGCGCATCATCCCGTCGGGCATGCTGCAGCACATTGGGCCCATTGACATCTCGCGCAAGTTCTTCAAGAAGCTGCGCTCGTGCGAGAACTATAGGACCGGCCGCCTGCGCGTGTGGGATTACGGCTACGACTGGCGCCTGAGCCCGTCGCGGCTGTCCAAGAGGCTGCAGGACTTTCTGCAGACGCTGCCGTCGAACCAGCCCGGCGTGCCCGCAGAGTCTCGCGGCGCCATCGTCGTCGCCCACAGCCTCGGCGGGCTCATCACGCGCCATGCTGTCAATGAGCAGCCGCACCTGTTCGCAGGCGTGCTGTACTGCGGAACGCCGATGCGGTGCATCAACATCCTGGGCCCGTTGCGCAACGGCGACGCGGTGCTGTTCAACGACAAGTTGCTGACGGCGCAGGTCAACTTCTCGATCCGCACCTCGTTTGCGCTGCTGCCCGACGACGGCTTCTGCTTCGTCGACCGCTACACTGGCGAGTCGTATCCCGTCGACTTCCACAATCCGGACAACTGGGTCAGATGGCATCTCAGCCCGTGTCTCGCACCGCCGCTGCCACCGTTCAACCGCCAGGCTACACACTCGCCCCTGGCCGCCTTGTTCCCCAACAGTCTGTGGCCCCGTGGCAGCGATGGCCGTGTCGATAAGAGGAGGAACTCCATGTCAGGGGCCGATTCCGCTCCCAAGGAAATCGCCAACAACATCCAGAACCGGGCTTCCATGGTCCCGCGGCTCGACGGCAATCTGCATCACCGCCACACCCTGAGCATCCCGCCGTCTCAGTCTCCGCCCCAGGCCCCTTATTCCAACAGCGCTCTCCCGCCGTCTCCTCCCTCGTCCGATATCGATCCGGAGCGCTTCCGTCGCAACTACGAGTACCTCACCCGCACCCTGGCCTCTATCAAGCAGTTCCGCTCTGAGCTGGCGCATATCCCCGCCCATCAAGACGCCAACGCGTATCCGCCCCTGGCTGTGATTTACTCCAAGAGCATTCCTACCGTGTACGCCGCGCGGGTCAACGGCCGAGATGCGATCCCCTGCGCCGACGCTTACGACGACCTGGTCTTTCGGCCTGGTGACGGTGTTGTGCTGGCAAAGGAGAGCATGTTGCCGGAGGGATACTCGATTGCAAAGGGCGGCAGGGTGAGCACTGAGCGAGGCCATGTCTCTATGATGGGCGACATGCCAGCTTTGGGAAAGGCATTGGGAGCGTTGGTCAGGGGAAGACGAAAGGGCATCGGATATGGCGCCGTGAGCCCAGCAGAAGCATCATCATCATGATCTCTTGATCATTCTTTCTCCATCTCAGTCCTTCTTCCACGTCATATTCCTCTTCTGCTTCCTGGGCTTTGAGCTACATAACACAATGGCATCACTCAAGAAGGAAAAGAGAACCATTCACACCATCCATCACATTTTCACGCACAGCATATGATTTCCACAACATTCAGCATGGACGTTTTCCGAAAAAAAAAAAAATTTTTTTCTCTCGTTCTCTTCGTTGGCATTATCAAAGGGGCAACAAAGGGCATCTCGACATGAAAAACATGATCATGAAACATTGGCATTCATACATACCCTCTTACATAACATGCAGCATCACTGCTTCACTTTGCCTCCCATCTATCTATCTGTACTTGTACTTTATATACCCATTTTTGCATATCGAAACATATATAAACAAACATGAACAAATAAATATACATACATACATACATACATGTACATACTATGTAAAGTAGCATACTATTATCAAATTGTCAAAAAGGAAGCCTAAGATTCAGTTGTGTGATGATGATGTGTGAATTTGTATATGCGTATATGTATATATATGCATTGCTTGTAAATATCCTATGATGCCATATACCCTCCCTTTTTCCCTCCAGTAATTAACAACGCTGTCTATCCATGCATGCCGTCATCGGTGGTATCATGTACAAAAAAAACTCCTTTCGTGGAGAGAGACGCTGTGGTATACACAAAACAGTATCCAACCGCCCCAAACTGGTCATCATCTCGTTCTGCCGTAGAAATACAATCCAACGAGGCCAAGTTTCCTGACTCAAAACTCGAAACCCCGTAATCCAAATCCCTTTTGTTTTCCCCCCCTCCCAGTTTTCAATGCCTTTCCAATGAGATGGGGGTATATCATAGAATCATGCTTTCCTCTGCCTCCTCATAATCAGGATCAACTTCCGTCCCCAAATCTCTCCCCTCCAGAAACCTGCGGCCGGTGAGCTCCTCCGGGAGATATTTTTGCTTGACTTTGCCGTCCTTGTAATTAGGCGGATACTTGTACTCCGCGCCGCAGCCCAAATCTTTCATCAACCTCGTCGGAGCGTTTCTTAGGTGCAGCGGCACGGGTAAGCTAGCCACGCCCGGCTCGCGAAGGGCCGCAAAGGCATTGTTAAGCCCGCGGTATGCGCGAGTGCTCTTGGGCGCAAGACAGAGTGCAACGGCGCAGTGCGCCAGGGGAATGCGGGCCTCGGGTAGTCCTATCTGCTGCGTTGCCGTGTATGTGGACGTTGCGAGGGTCAGCAGGGTGTTGTCTGCCAGGCCGACGTCCTCAGAAGCGATGACAACCATGCGGCGGGCAATGAAGAGGGGGTCCTCGCCAGATTGGAGCATGCGGGCGAGATAGTACAGCGCAGCGTCTGGGTCGTTCCCTCGGACTGACTTGTGGAAGGCGGATATGGTGTCGTAATGCTGGTCGCCAGCGCGGTCGTAGACGAGCGTCTTGGTGAGGGACTGCTTCATGACCTCCTTGGTCATGCCATCGCGGAGGGTGAGAGATAGAGCCAATTCGAGAAGATTGAGTGCTGTTCGAGCGTCTCCGTCACTGAAGCGTGCCAAGTAGCCCATCATCTCATCGTCAATAAGAGGCGAAGGGGGGTAGACCGACTCCTCGGCCTGGCGAGCCCTCCTCAGGATAGCCACAACGTCCTCCGTGCTGAGCGACTGCAACGTAAATGTGCGGCATCGTGAAAGCAGCGCATTGGCGACTTTAAACGAAGGATTCTCTGTAGTGGCGCCAATCAGGGTGATGGTGCCAGCTTCGACGGGGCGCAGGAAAATGTCCTGCTGGGCCTTGTTGAAGCGGTGGATCTCATCGCAGAAGATGATTGTCTTGCGGCCCGTAAGCTGTAGTTCGTTGGCGGCTTCCAGGAAGAGCTTTTTGCACTCCTGTACGCCTGAGCTGGTGGCGTTGAGCTCGATGAAGCGGGTGCCGACCATTTGGGCGATACATCTAGCAATGGTGGTTTTGCCCGTACCAGACGCTCCCCAGAGAATCATGGACGGCACGCGGTTCGACTCGATGAGGGATCGCAGGACGCCTTCAGGCCCGACGAGGTCTTGGCCGCACACCTCGTCCAGCGTCTTGGGCCGCATTCTCTCGGCGAGAGGAGCCGCGCGAGACGTCTTTGTCTTTTTGATTACCCGTCCGTCTTCGTCTGCGCCGTGGCTGTGGCCGTTGACCGCCGCTACATCTTCCATCTGCCTGTCCTCCATATGTCTGTCTTCCTGCGGCTGTCCCTCCCCAGGCCCGTCCCCATGTGACCTCTTCTTGCCGGCCAGCGGCGGAAACACCATGTTGGACAGTGGCGCCTGGGATTTGAGATCGGTTATCTGCCGCTTAGGTGTGGGGGTTGAGAAGAAACTTGAAGCAGTGCGCTTCGGGGGTTGTGATAGTGGAGGGGCGGTCGAGGCGCCATTCTGAGGGGTTGCGGTTGAGAGAGGAGGAGTTGAGGAGCTGTCGAAGATGAAGCTGGTGCAGCCGGAATCGAGATGGTCGTTGATGTCTGTTGATTTGACGGGCTTGTTGCAGATGGGGCAGGCGACTGCCATGGCCGGAGAGAGAAAAGAAGGACGATGCTGAATATGAAGAGAAAAAAGAGGGAATGAATTGTAAAAGTGACGGCAATACCAAATGCGAAATTGAGCTTGTTTTTGTAGCAAAAGCCCATGCAGTTTTGTTTGAAAATGAGGATGTGGTTGAAGTTGAAGGTTGAATTGACTTGGACGGTGTAGGAAGTTTGGTCGCGAGTCTAGGTTAGTCAGCCACTTAGATGGATGGAGAACGCGCCTGGCACGCGATCCAAGACAACATTGAATATGTCATTAAGCAATTGGAATAATTTTTGCCAAACGTATGTATACGTTTAATGTGATTGATTAATTGCCAGGTTATTTGGTTTGATTATTGAGGTTCAGTTTTTTATGTCAACTCAAAGTGAGCTGAAAGTGGGATGAAACTAACCAACACATCAACAAACAATCACCTCTGGAGTAAACAATGGTAGTATGACATCAATATGCAGTGATATAAGCACGCTGCTACTTTTGGCTGTTATAATTCATTATCACGCCTAATATACTCCAATTTTGAGACTTTTCTTTCTTATACTTGTATTTGCCCACTCAAGATCTAGAGGGCTCCTCATCCTCAATCCCCTTCGATGTCCTAAACAGCGTATGAATGATGCTCTTCTTCTTCCTGACTACCTTGACGCTTTCCTCTCCTCCAAACATTTCAGTAGGCTCAACTTGGACAGTTGAGTTGACACTGGAATTCTTTGCTTGCTGTGCAAGACTTTGAGGCTGTGCATTTGAAGAGGCAACGTTCGCCGGCGAGGTTCTTTTCAATGAGAGCGCCTATATCGTCAGTTAGCGAAGCCCATGCATATCCTTTCTACCATCAACAAGAAAGATAGAGTAAGCATATCACCACAAACCTTTAGTCTTCGCCTCTCTTGTACCTTGTTCCTTTCTTTCTCGCCATCCCCATCGCCGGCTACAGCTTCTGAGATCCTCCCCGCGACAGTCTTGCTCCCCCACGCAAGAGACTCTTCTGCCACCGGGATGAAGCGCACCATCCCTCTGGCAGGAGGAACACGAAGCACGGCTTCTAGGTGCTTTTGAAGGACAGCGGCATTGCGCTTATTGGTAGCAGGCTGGACTTCAGAAGCGAGGGCCGTGATGGTGAGAGTGTAGGCAGGATCCATGGAGCCGCCAAAGAGGAGACATTGGCTGTGATGCAAGGAGATGACGATAGAGGAAGGATACCGGTTGTATCTCGCAGCAAGATGGTGAGAGAAGACAGTGAGGAATTGTTGCTCGTTTTCGACCTGTCGGTTTTCTGGCTCGGTTAGAAAGCTGTTGTTGTAATCATCAAATTGAGTGCAGTGGATGAGAGGTGCTCGCCTTGACATTCGTCTTGACTTCGGCATAAATCAGAGCCTCTCCTCGTACGGCCGCAGCTGCTGAACTCTCACTAGACCGCTCATGAAGTGCGTCGTGGAAATACTGGCTTCGTTTCGTAGATAGGCGCTGTTCATCGCTGGACGTGGACTTTGCGGCATCCATCACAGATGAAGCATGTTGAGACTGAATTCGAGGGTCGCTTTCTGGTACAGTCTCCAAGCTGGACATTTTGCTTTTAGGCTTGAAATTCCGCTCAGAAGTGGGTGAAGGAGCTGTCGCAGGTGCATTCAGTGCTGGTTTGGCGATGTCAAGAAGGGAGGATGGAGATAGCACCGGTTGATCCATGACACAGCGATGCAATGGCAGAAAGATCTACTCAGTTGCAGTCTAATTCTCCTTTCTCCTACGGTAGTAAGAAATCCTGATTTTTGCTGGACAAAAGTGAGCATAAAGTGACGAGACTCTCACCGCATCTGTCACTCTGAAGTGAGATTGCTTGACCCGTGGTAGTAAATAACTGGTATGTATTGTCTCACGTCCATACCTGTGTCATCGTCTTCTGTGCTTCATCTAGATGTACAGATTGAATGTCGCACAACCACCAGTAAATGCGTTGTGGCGTAGTCTGTGAACACGGGTAGATGCTTGTCATATCCGTAATGTTTGCCGGTGACTTTATAGAAGCCTCGATGCAGTATCCCGAATACGTACATCGCGGATTAATTTATTTGAAAGAGCCACCAGTTTCCGCAAAATGTGTATTTATGTATTGTGTAGCTATGCCATTCAAATAGCCACAGCAGTGCCGTCTATTCTCATACTTGAAACAAGGGGATTATATTACATGTAACTACTAAATTGAACAGTATCCGATGACTTTCCCGTCGTGTATCTCGTCTCAATCCGTTCCCATCATAGGAGAGCACAAAGCTGCTCCTATTGATCATCTCTTTGATGTGTGTAGGCTCTTCGTTATTTCTTCTTTCATTCTTATGATATTACGCTTTGGTAGCCTGTCGTTCCAAAACAGCTTGGTAGCCCGCAACAGCAAGAATGGCCGCCTCCAGGGGAACAAGCAGCACAGAAAGCACCACGCCAGCCTGGTTTTGCTTGCAGAGAGTGCCAAAGTGCGGCTGCATGGTCATGGGTACATCGTTCCAGCGGCATGTCCAGCTCTGGAGGTTGTCCACCGTGGAAGAAGCATTGGCGGCGTAAAAGAGAGACATGGCAACGATGGAGGCAATGAAGGCTGCGGCGGGAGCGGCGAGGCTGGCGATGGCGTGAGGGCCAGTAAGGCTTCGTAGCTGTATCCAGACACGTTAGATAAATATGCAAAAGAAGGATAACAAGAAGACTTACAGCTTGGATCTTACTAAAGAGGAGGGACACAATATTGGTCACAGTAACAACGACTCCGCCAGCAACCAACGCCGCAGTAGGGCGCAGATCAAACTGAGAGGGCCATAGAGGAAGATAGAAGTCAGACGGGAGATACGTCTGGTGGTAGACCATCAGGCTGTTGGCCGAAACACCCAAGACGGTGATGCCAGCCGCCAGGGCCAGGACAGTGAGAGCAATCCGTCCGGCGTGGACGACGTTGATCAGGCGAGTGTTGGACTGACGCTGGGCCTGCAGCTGGAGAGATTGAGCCTCGACTTCAAACTCGGAAGAAGAGAGCTCGTTTTTCAGACTGGAAGACATTTTGGGGCTGGTGGATGGGGGTATCATTGGCGAATTCAAGTCAAACCGGTGACGAAATGCCGAAGGAAGATCAACACAAGGGAAGGAAAATGGAAACAAGACGAAATAGAACCCTGAAAGGAAAAAGGAAAGGAAAGAAAAAACCAAATTGTTTGGACACGACCTGTTTGCCACAAAACAAAACAAAAACCCACGAAACACAGCGGGAAACGCAGTGTAAATGTACTCGTAGCTTTTCAGACAGCGTCATGTCCAGGCGCTTGGACAATCTCCGATGCCCTCACGGACGCGAAGTCCAGCCAATGGGCGCGTATCGTTTCGAGACCCGAGATGCAGCCCAGATGCAACATTCTTCCCTTAGGCGCGCCCATCTCTCTGTGCCGTCCACCATCTCGCCTATCCAGAGGGCACAAATCTAGGGAATCGCGAGACGGGATTGGCTGGATTGTGTGTGAGTAAAATCCGGGGTCACATAATGTTTCCTGGGCACGGCGCTTGGGCGAAGTGCCGGGCCAATGAGAGGCGAGGCGAAGATTGCCGGAAATAGAAACAATGGTTGTATTGTTTTTTTCCGATTCTAAGCAGACGGGCGGCTAAAATGCATGAAAGCTGCTGGATGAAGGTTGATGTGCATTGCCGAGATCAATCATGTTTGCCGCTTCTTCTTATCTTGGTCTCTTCTTTTCTTCTTCTTCTATTATGAGCTAAAGGTGCATGTGATGGTGGATGGTGGGTGCATGTGGTGAGGATACCAAGGGAGAAGAGACGAGGGAGTAAGATTAAGGCTTCACTGTCGCGCGCGCCAAAGAGGCTCAAATTGCGAGTACGTGTGCAAGGCAGTATACCTGATGCAAATGAAGGGCTGCAGTTTTTGCTGTGCTCCATTCACGCTCTCCTTGGCCTGTTCTCGCATCAACAACAGATAGATTGCGTTTTGGATTACTCTCTCACAAGCGACAAGTATCTGCGAACGAGGAGGCATCATCCAGCATTTACAACTGTTCCACTATCGGGAACGGATACAATATCCACATAGCTCATTGTATTTGCACTTGGGCGACTGCGTGTACCGCTAGCTCATGTGTCTACTGGTAGACAGAAGCATCAACTCACCACAACGACCAAAGCGTTGTGGAGAGCAAAACGGTGAGCATGGGATTTCTCCTGCCAGTATGGAAAAGTGAGCATGGCAAAAATCCTGAGCAAAGGCGACATTTGCGCGGTCCGGCCCGCACAGCAAATTAAAGCTTCACCTCTCTCCACTTTGCTCCGTATTATGCTGGGCATCTTCCACTCTCTCTCCCCTCTCTCTGTCGGAGGCTTTCTCCTCCATCTCCGCTCACCGTGTTATACTGCTACAGGTAGTAATGGTATGGAATACTAAAAGCACCAAGAAAGCACAGATAGATTACTGCTCCGTCCCAGCACCACTAGTAATTCCAACCTAGCTGTTCAGCTGCCACCAGAACCCTGCGGGTGGGGATTCTGCCTCTCCTCGGCTTAGCTTGCGGACGGAATGTCATTTGTACGACAGGGGAGGGTGTGGACGAAACGAATCAAAGAGCGCTTGGTCAAGGAACAGGCTTCTACTGAGATACGAACAGACAAATCTCAGCCCTGGGGGGCTGCATGTATGGAGTCGTTCTGTGAATGCTGCGTGGGGGATGGGCGTTACGACGAGGCTTTCCACACTTGGCAGAAGGGAGAGAGTCATGGCAAGAAAATGAGCTGAATTGGACGTTGTTTATGCGCTGCCGGTGAGATGGAGTCGTTTAATATATTTTAGACGGCTTTTGGGGGCTCAGCTCTTGTGATAGACTGCGAAGCTGAAGGTGAGAGGCGGCGTTGGGTTGGTTAGTGTACGGTAGATGTTCGTGCTTGTAGCGTGTCGGGGGCATGTTCAAGGGAAGGGCTGTCTGTCACATTGGGAATGACTCGCCAAGTGGCTGTAGGTGAATGAACCGGGCTCATGGGGGAAAAAGCAAGAAAGGGAGTAAGGAAACTAAGAAAAAAAGAGGGAGAATTTTGATAGAGTATTGAGAGTAGCATGAAATTTGTGGCTTTTTCTCCAGGGTAAGGACGGGACTTACACGCACTCTTCGCCTACACTACATTCTCGCGTAAAGAACACTACTTGTTTGATGGATGCCTAGAGAGTTAGTTCCATTACAATTAGTAGAAAAGGTGTCTTTGGGTGGTGTGGGTAAGTGAAAATAGAGAGAGCAGAGGGCCCTCCGCACTCCATACTGCCAACATCACTCGCTTGGTATCGTCTATCACGACGAACCTAGGTCAGGCCGTGAGCCGAGACAACAGCAGTGAGTGTCTGTCGTCTCCATCAAGCTCGGCTGGGATAACTGAGGGGTAAAAAAAAATCCTGAAAACTTCGGTGGACATGGACCGAATCTATTGACGACGTAGGCAGCTGCTCTGTTTGGGGCATACTGCTACCGTGTGTTGGTTGCTCGCTGTTCCTCCTCAAGGGCCCCTTGTCCACCGCTTTGAGGCTGAAAGGGAGGCCATCAAAACGCCTACTGAGCGGTAGCTCTCTTATGTGATTCGCTGGTAAACGAATTCGAAATGTCACTCGATGCTGGCTGGCGCCCTGAAAGAACATGACGTCTACCACCTGCCCCCCAGCTCACCAGCATATTCATCTCACGCACTGCATCAACACTCACGACGGCTTCAGAAGGGCATGTAGTGTAGATTGCACCCTTTTCTCATTTTCTACCTAGTATTTTAGCTTAGTCGACCGTCGACGCTCTCCTTTCCCAATCCGTCCACTACCTTTCTATCTTTTATGATAGCACGATGGCTACTAGATTCGACGGAGACGGATCGTCGAGAGCGGATCCGCGCCTGGGGGGTCAGTCTCTAGAAGGGGCTAGCAAAAGGAGACTTTTTGATGTTCGGCGATTTCGTGTTAGAATGGACCCCGAAATCTAAGCTGCTTTGGCATTGCGCTGCCGTCTGTCTCACTGTATGTGTTCTTGCGAGTATCATCTTTTGCCCGCTGTGCTTTTTTCCCCTCCAACTGGGATCACTTGCCAAGGGGTCTGGTGGTAGGTATAATCCGCATCACCTGGCTGGCTACCAGTGCCATAGAAAGAAACATACATGTAACCTTGCCCTTCGTATATCAAAGACATGCACCTGTAGTCGTATATCGCTGCTACTATCATACAGCATCCATATCATACTACCTACCTGGTTGAGTAGTAGTTGAGACATGCCTGCGCTAACCCTCAAGCCGACCAGACCAGCGTCGCGCGTGTCTCAGTTCTCGGGAGCTACCGCCTTCTCCCACCAGGAAGCCATCGGCCGCCCATGATCGCCGCCGCATGTAAGGGAGGGGACGCGCTTTAGCATTGGCAGCGCATGAGAGCATCGGACTTATTCGACTTGACATGCCCATCGTCGAAGCGGCCGACGGGTCCATGTCCACCGCTGCCTGCGGGTTCTGAACGTCCGAATATCTTCGGATTGTAACATGGCAATGATCGCCCCCCAGCCTGGTGTTGCACAGGATAGCTTGACAGTTCTGGTGCTAACTTGGATGGAGAGCCCCAACGCCAGCGTCGTATCCTGTTAATCTATTTGGATGGGGGAGCTTACATGCTGTATGTTAGTTACGGAGCATTACATTACTTGCATGGAGTTGACATACACTAGAGCTCTGGATGGAGCGAGGCAGAGCGGAGAGATTCCGCGCCCTCTCGGTGTGTGGCAGCGTCCAACATACATTTTTCATTTACACGGTAGATAATCGCTAAGTCTTTTGACATGTGCATCCCACAGCATGCCTTGTAAGTATATACAACCTACGAGCCTTTTTAATTTCCATTACCACCGCAACCTCTAGAAAAAAAGAAAAGACAAAAAATCTGCCCAAGTTGGTGAGAATAAAACAGCATGAGCGGTCGGTCTGTCATGCGTGTCTCAGACCTTGACGTCTGAGTCTGGATCAGGATCCCGCGTCCTGGTGTCCGGGAAGCTTCACGGCGGCTCAATGACGGCACAGGCAGACAAGAAGAAGACCAAGCTCTCCCTTTCTTCGTCATTCGTTTGAAGCAAAAAGGTCTGGAACCTCAGCCCTGTTGGCACATAGATGTGCCAGTGTGTCGCCCGTGGACGTGAATTGCTGCCTTTTTCTAATGTCTCACCTGTTGTGTATGAGCGCACGGGACGAGCAGGGCTTGTTACTAGATAGCGCTTGTTACTAGATAGCAAGATCCTGTGCTCGCAAGGTCAGTGCTTGACGCATCGGTGACACGGGATGCATGTTATCGTGAGCGGAAAACGCCACAAGGGGGACATCAAGGTGCGCAGAGCCTGGTTTTGACGCTGTTGGCAGTCTGTCAGTGTTGATGTGCATTGCGTGCCAGGCTGGACGCAAGTGTGTTTGCATTGAGATTTTTGCATGTTGATGTTTGCTGTAGTCCTCGCTTTGAATCCATGTCTACTGCACGTAAATTACCAAATACCATGTCCATATCACGTCTCTAAAGCTCACTTGGACACCTCCAGATCAATAACTCCATCTACCAGGTCCTTAGCTGTACCACCACCCCCTTCAGGACCATGTCGAGGCTAATACACGGCCCATCGTCCTAGCCCATGGCCGAGCAGGGGTCACCAACTCTTGGGCCGTCAAAGATCCACCGGGCCAAGGCCCCAAGCAATTTTGCACATCACTGGATTTGATATCCCCTGGCGGCTCATCTTGGTTCTGTCCTGTTCGTACAGGCACAGAGTAAGACAAAGATTGTGGCCGCTCGGAGGTTTGGCATCCGATGACCGATGCGCTGGAAGGGCAGAAGAAGTCAATTGGCCAGAGTGCAAAAGTTCTTTTTTTTTCTTTCTTTTCTAGTTGCTGTTATGTGATAACATGGACGTTTGGTGATACGTAAGTGGTTGTAAGCTGTAGCTCCTCCCCACGTCTATTTCCGCTGTTAGTCCAGTGAAATTGAATTCATGTTCCTATAACAACCTGAGCTGTACGCCACTTATTTTGACGGTATTAGTGGCGTATAGCATCGGACTTAAGATAGTATACTCGTAGTAGAAGCTGTACTCGTAGCAATTGTTGGTCTCCAGTTTGCCTTGACAGCTTACACTTACACCCTGTCAACAACCCTCAGTCCTGTCCATCTGCCGGTGAAACAACAACTCGCCAACCTCAACATGCCCTCCTCCTCCTCTTTGAGACACAACCTCACCTTGACATGTCTCACAATTCTTTGACCTTTTCCAAATCTGGGCACTGCATTGGAACCCTGCCCGCAGCCGCCACGCCGCGTCGGCGCCTCTCGCCTTGCCCGATCCAGGGTCGCCATTTCAGCCCGTCTGAGACCCCGACATGGGGGGTGGGAAAGGCAAATGATTGCCACTATGTTTTTTTCTCGATGGGCGCTCGCAAAATCCGATTCCTCCACCCTTGGACCTGCCCCGGCGATCGAGCGGCGTTTGCTGTGCTGCTGTGCTGCCAATTTCACAATCCCGATACTACCATGGATGGCACACTTGCTGTACTCTAGACTACAGCCTACCTACTACTACTAACACAGAGTATCAATCTGCTTTAGCCCACCCCCCATTGACACCTTGGTTCCTGTCCCTCTCGTACTCGTATGTATTAACCATGTTTCCCATCCGTAGCTCTATACAGCGGAGAGCAGCTAAAACATTGTTTCCATCTACCTCCGAGGTACCCACCCGCTCCCCAAATTGACCCCCCCAGTCACCCAGACTGATGCAATGGTGGTCACCCATGCTCGGTATGCAGCCCGGGGCGAGCAGGACCCTGGCCTCGCCTTGCCGGAACAGAGGAGATCCGAAAAGACGCCAAGGGGGAGAAAAAGTAAAAAAGAAAAAGCAATACTAGAGAGCTGTCAAGCTGCGTAATGAAGTCACCCAGCCGCGAATGACGACGGTGGGTACGGGGCCAGAGTTGCTCTAATTGAAGCCTTACCAGTGACGCTTGTCTTGTGTCCATGAAGCCCCCTTCGCTCCAGCCCAAGATTTATTCTTTTCTTTTTTTCTTTCCTCTCACGGCAGTTGTTATGACGAGCTGAACTTTTTGCAGTTGTATCAAGAGCTGAGCCAAAAAATCTTATATAGCCGCCGAGTGCCTCGTCTTGCTGCTGTCAAACACATCACTGAATCACTGATCATTGATCACTGCTCATTGGAGCTCGTGCCAATCTTGCTCTCTCCCCTCCAAGCTCAGACCTCCTCCTTACACCTCTATACACAAACACCCTCTCTCACCCACGCCCTTTACATCGTTGGCCCTCTGTATACACCAAGCTCCCACTGTTAGTAGCCGGTATTCCAGGTACCTGCTACAACTCTCTGTGTTCTTCCAAATACCTGGTCGTTCATACCTCATCTTTGTCAAACCCCCCTCCCAGCAACTCCCTCCAAGACACCTGCGTATCCATCTACGTGAATATCCACATCCAGTGCTACCTACCTCAACCTAGGCACAGACGCTACAGAGCTCGAGAACAGCTTCATCCTTGACGCCACACGAACCTTATTTCCTCACTCCTGATTCAGGTCGACCGACATTCACTGCTACGATACGTACCTTGCTGGGATCTCTTATACGATTCGGCGCAAGCTTGACAGGCACGGGAGGTTCCTTGTTCTGCCGTGTCAAGGGTCCTCCGGTTGTTGCATCACTCCCGGCTCTTGGATCTGGGGCATCAATATATAAGTGGCCTTTGCCTTGCCTTGAAGCTTCTTATAGACAGAGGCATCTCATCTGTCCTAACCAACTCGGCACATCAACATCTTCCTCCACCACCATAAGCAATGCGGATCAGACTTACTACGACGCGGACTCGCGCCTCTTCTCCTCCTCGCAGGACTAGATCGCCGGGCATCCCAATATTTGGCCTCTTGAACTTCATTGCCTCTCATAAGCCCACAAAGCAACAACCTGACACCTTTGTACGTCCAATACCTGGCTTCTGCTTGCTCCCTTCATCCCATCTTCCTCTCATAGGCATGACCTCTTCGACTAACACTTCTTCTCATATAGCACCCCTTCTCCAGGCTCCCAACAGAGCTCCGTTTGAAGATCTGGCAATTGAGCCTCCCCAGCCCACGCCTAGTCTCCGTCCAATGCGGCGTCGACATCACGGCCCTCGCCAGGCCTCCCCCAGACAGCGCAGAGTATACCGGGTGCACATCGCCAACTCGCATCCCAGTCAGCCTCCAAGTCTGCACAGAATCCCGCGCTGAAGCTCTCAAGTCATACCAACCCAGCCTCGGCTTCTTCCGTGGGGATGGCCTGGTCTACTTCAACTACGACATCGACATCCTGTACTTTGGCCCCCGCGAGGGCTTCATGGCCGCAGACTCGCAGTTCCACACGTGCATGATGCTGTGTGAGCCATCTGAGCTTGCTCGTGTTCGTCGCTTGGCTGTCAACGAGGCCTTGTTCCGGCTCGTCGGTGACACTTACGAGTTCATGAGTGCTACTAGATTTACGCTGGAGATGCTAAGACAGGTTTCCCAGCGCATGAAGGGCCTGGAGGAGCTCATCTTGGTGCCTTGGGACGAGGAAATGGTCGAGGAAGGCCTTGTGCGTGAGCGTTTGACCAAACAGATGGAATCAGCTCTGCAGAGCATGAGAACGGAAGTGAACCCGACTTGGCAAGCGCCGCCATGGAAGATTATTCCTTTGAAGGAGCTCCCTAGCATGATTGATTAAATGGTCGATCCTGTTTGCTGGCTTGAGCCAACAGACGCTATATGCAAGAAATCTAACGTCACGAAGCACACTGGAAGCAACATCGCCGCATATGTATAAGTTATGTATGTACTTACACACATACGACAAGCGTGTCACAATACGCAACAGGGTCTCAGGCATCACATACATAGTCTTCCTCGGATGGGACACCAGCCTCTCTCAGCTTCATGAACCCCAAGGATATGTATATATTGGGAAGCTTTCGGTGAAAGAGAGATGGAGGGAAAAGGAAAAGTGATCGGCCTGCTGTTATGCCAAAAGAAGCATCGATATAGGCTGATGCTACATGCACCACCACATACCCGGCCCAGAAGAAGAAGGGATTGGTGAAAAAAAGCCCGAAACAAGAGGAGAGACGGGGCATTTCGAGTCCACAAGAAGAAAGACTCTTGAATATGGGAGGGATCTTTGGTGCGTTGAGCTGCAAGAAGAATTAAGGCCAATTCTTTATTTCATGGACGATAATTGGAGGAATGGGGCATTTCAAAAATATACTATGGCTACGTGCAAGAGCACAATGGGATTAATGGGGAGCTAGGAATACAAGCTCATAGATTGATACAATAAACAATATCTAAAGGAAACAAAATGCTTATGAATTGTTCAATGCGACTTTCGTTAGATGATTACAAGGCTAATAATTCAAAACATCAACTCTAGCATGTGACATATGCAATAACCATCCTTAATATCCATACCAAATAATGTAACACCGCCAGTATCCCAGATCATATAATGCCGTATTAATTGTTCGGAGCATCTGTCAGATCGATAAAAGACACATCACTCCATCTAGTAACGCCAGCTCTAATGCCACGGTCATGAAGCGACTGTACTTCTCGCGAGATTCTCTCTTCATATTCGTCCTCACCAACTTCAATCTCCTTGAAGAAGCCGGTCCCGTTGGGGACGTATATCTTTTTGCCTGTAGCGGGACCGGGACTGCTATCGCGCTGTGGAGGAGGAATGCGAGTCTTTTGTTTGCTCGTAGTAGGGCGAGATGTACGTGGTGTTTCGGGACTGCTAGATAGTATAATCTCGACTTCCTTGGCCTTCGTTCGTGTAGTAATGTCCTCTCTGCTAGAGTTTAAGTTATATATGCTGCCATTGCCGCTGTTAGATGAACTGGGGCGACTCGTATCTGACTGAGGAAGTTTTTGTGTAAACATGTCCATTGACATCTGTCTTAGCTTTGTTGCTCCTTGCGATGCCTTGTGATGAGACGACGTCTTTTGCTTTGGTTTCGTGATCGAAGAAGAAGCCGATGTATCGTGCTCACTTCTCACCCGCGACGAAGCACCCGCCGCAAGAATCGACCGTATTGACTTTGATATCTCGCCATCACGACTTGCAGAGGTGGTGGTGGTTGTTGTAATTGGCGACGACGGCAAAGATCGTGAAAGTGGCGATGAGCCGCCGGCAGGGCTGGACGAAATGACGATAGTCTCGAAAACTCCTGCATCGTCATGACGCCTAGTTGGGTCTGGTGAGCTGGTTACTGTCCAACGGTCCAAGCTAGGAGGTGCGTTGGGCGCGGGTTGCTTACTGGACTTTCGCAGTGATGGTGGCGTTTGTGGTCGGCGTAATTGACTTGATCGAGGAAGAGGAGGGAGATCTGGTTCGCTAAACTCATTAACCTCACTGTCATCCTTGTTTGAGTCGGAGGCAACGCTGTTGGTAGCTTTCCCCTGTGTTTCAACTGCCTTGGTGATGCGAACGAAGCTGTCGAGAGCCCCATGAGGCATCGCGGCATCCTTTTTCGTCTTCGATGTTGTTGCCTTCTTTTTTGTTGTTTTTGCCCGTTTCCCTTCCTCCCAGGCTTGGACAGCTCTTGGCGCAAACCTCTTGGCTACCTCTTCTAGGACCCAGGTGAGTTCTGGTTTTGTAATATCAAATGTCTTTCCACCACCACCCTGGGCGTCCTCAAGGTTGTCTGGAGCTGTTCCAAACTCTTCATCGCTATTGAGAGCTAGGCCGCTCCGAGCATATGTAATTTCTTCCTCCACTTCATTTGATATATCGATGGGCACGATTTCTTCGGGGATGTAAGCGAGCCGAAGTTCGGACGTGTTGTCCGTGCTGAAATGGTTCCGACGGGCTGATATTCTCTTAACAAAAGAGTCTCCATTAACGCCGTCCTGATACATGCGATTCACAAACAAGCCCTCGCTGAGCACACGGATGAATTTGATTGCGCCGATGCGGAAATCCCAATTAAATGTTTCCCTGGTAAATTCCCTTAGGCCATCCAACTGGATTTCCCTGGTTTCTTTTAGCCTTTGCCTGACTACTTCCAACGTGGATTCAGGAGACACCACCGGATGGGTGTAATAGCGAAGCACCTCTACATTTGGGAAATCCTCCGGAATGTCTAGGGCCTTGTGACGAGTGCGGAAATATTTGCTTTCATTGGTTCGAAGCTCATGCGTCAATGACTTTTTCCACTGGCGTATACCTTCTGTATCTGAGGCTCGAAGTTGACACAGAGATTTCCCAAAGCCAGCCTTGGCGGCCTCACATGCAACTTTTGGCCCACAGCCGGGCACTCCCTCCGGGATATAGTCGCCGCCACTCATAAGGGCCACCAAAACCATTCCCTCTCGATCGAGACCAAGGTTGGCCATGTTCAAATCGTTGACGTCGTACATGGAGACATGTGTTGGCTTTCCGTTCTTGCCCTCGGCCGACCAGTTCCGAAGCGTTCGTGTGCATCCAAACATAATTGTGTCCACATCTTCACTCAGTACAGCATCAACAATGCCGTTCTTTTGTAGAAAGGCACATTCGGCCTCGGCCTCGCCTGGTGCATCGTGAACTACGAACCCAAAGAGTCGTATAAGCCTCTTTGCGTGAGCCGCTGCGAATCCATCGCCCCGACCGGATCGCCTATGACGTTTGAACTTTGGTTTATTAGGGCCGTCGAAGACGAAAATTGGCTGGATTGGCGTGCCGAGAAGACGGACAAGTCGGTAGAAGAGGGTTCGGATCGCGGGGTTGGTGCCGCCTGTTTTCACGAACAAGTCAGACGGAAACTTGCGTGAATCTGATTATTTTGATGCTTGGAAAACTTACCGCGAGCAGCTTGGTTTTGGAACTGCCAGATAGCAATGTCAATAGCAAGGCGGTAGGGCCGGTTGTGTTCCACGAAGCTGTCGGATGCAAGCTTGGACAGGGCGATCCTTTTGCCAGGGCCTAGCTCTCGATATATCCTGCACAGCGTGAGCTTTTCTATCAAGTAAATGCGGATGCTTTAAAAAAAAAGAGAAAAAAGAAACACAAAAAAACTCACCCTTTGATCCCCATTGATGCCCTCTAGCAGCTCCCGCCCTTGGCCCTGTCATGAGCTGAGAAAGGCTGCAGCTGGATGATGGAGATGTAATAGCAGCAATGTTTACTTGCTGAAGCCGTGACGACAGAACCAAAAACATTGGGCTCGACCGGGGTGCCTTATCGATATTGGTGGATCGGCGCTAGCAACACGCCTATTTTCATAGGACAGCCTCAGACACTCAAACAGAGCGATTGAACTGCGATTCAGGCCTGTATCGTGATTCGCTCAGTGAACCAAGAAAAGGAGACCCAAGCAGCCGTAACTCGCCGCACGTAGAGCCTCAACTCTTCTGTTCAGCATCGCCCACAGCCACTGAAGGGCATCTGCTATCCCTGCCATCGAGGGCCATGTCCTCTGGCACGGGGCCGACGCTGGCTCATCGTAGCGTCGCCAGCATCCGCTCAGCCCCGATTCTGCAAGAGCCTGGAGCGCCACATACGCCGCCGCGAACAATCTCCAACACATACGGCTCACCGGCCACGATTAGAGCGGATGATGATTTTCTGATTATCCAGATAGGCTCACGGTTTGTCCGGGCTGGGTTCGCGGGGGACAACCAGCCCAAGGCTGTGCTCACATGTGGACCAAAGGACCAGCGACGAGCAGGAGATTTCAGGGATTGGCAGCCGGCTGGGGATGTCGACCTCCAGTCGGGGGATAAGGATTATGAGCTATGGCGGTATGACCTGAGAGAGGTCGATCTTGGGCTTGTTTATGACAAGCTGGATCGTCTGCTGAGAGATGCGTTTGGAAGGTATGCTTTGACTGAGCTATAGTGAGAGACGCTCATGCTGACACTCTACAGGTGTTTGCTGATTGACTCTCGGCCAAGACGAGCAGGCCTCGTTCTTGATTCTGGAGTGCCAATCCCAATCTTATCCACTGTGCTGGATCTCTTGTTCAAGGGCTTTCAAACACCAATGATCTCTCTCATGTCGTCAGCCACCATGTCTGTAGTAGCGGGTGGAATTCGCTCAGGGCTGGTCATCGACATGGGTTGGGCTGAAACGGTAGTCACCAGTGTCTATGAGTATAGGGAGGTCAAATGCACGCGTAGCGTAAGAGGAGGGAGATATCTCAACAACCAACTGTACAAGCTTCTTCACAAAATCTTGACTGACAAAGAGGAGGAAGAAGAAGAAGGCGCACGAGTCATCAGCTTTGCCGAGTGCGAGGATGTCATGTGCCGCCTGATGTGGTGTCGGCCGCCGGCATCCAAGTCACCTCAGGCACAGAAGCCGGCTCAGAGACAGTCACAGCAGCTGGACACAGTGGAGGAGCAAGACGAGTCCGAACCTGAGCCCGAACAGTCTCTGCAAAACAGCGTGGCAAGCATCCCGCTGAGGTCCATCAATCCACCCAGGACGATTGAGGTGCCGTTTGATAAGATTGCTGATGTGTGTGATGATACATTCTTTGATCTGTCAATTGCACATAGCGCATTTGATGATGAGGATTTCCCAGTCCACCTACTCATTTATCGTCATCTGCTACAGCTACCAATGGATGTGAGGGCTGTCTGCATGCCTCGAATAATCTTCACGGGTGGCTGCTCCAACATTCTAGGCATCAAGGGGCGCATCATGGAAGAAGTCACAAGCATGGTAAAGCGAAAAGGGTGGGCTAACGTCTCTGGAAAGCACGTGGAAGAGTCACGAAATAGCCAATTTTCTGATCGAAGAGCGAGTATAGCTAGATCAGTCAGCTCAACAGCGACTGCATCTGATCTCGGAGAAGAACAAGAGTCTTCACGGCCAAGCTCGATAGCATCACAGTCGGACATCGCGGATCCCATCGAGGCAAAGGTGGCACGCCATCGGCCGCAGATTTCGCAAATGCAAGGAGAATTCCGCACTCTTCATTCTCTTGGGCCGTGGGCTGGAGCAAGCTTAGTTTCCCAGCTCAAAATCCCCGCCATGGCGACGGTAGACCGCGAGCTGTGGCTGCAGCAGGGGGCTTATGGCGCGTCGCGCCCGAATGAAATCGACGTCAAGGCACAGCAACGGCAGAGCATGGGCGCAGGAGGCTTTATTCGCGGCAGTGGAGGCCATCATACCAACTGGACGCTAGGAGCCTGGGGCAACGTGTGAAGCATTCTGTTTTAGCGGTTATGTTCATACGCCGCTTGAACGAGCTTGGAGTGACCCTACTTGGCAATACTTCTGATGTGGATGAGTTTTGATTTGCAGTTTTTTTCAAGGCGAAGCTTCGCTCAAGAAGCTAGCGCGATATGCCCAATAGACGGACAAAAAGTGATGGGGATTTAGCGACTATACCTTTTTTCTTTTCCTTTGCAACTTTTGTCATGAAGTATATGATCTAGATCTCATGAATGACTACCAAGAATAGACTGGCGCTAGACGGTATAGTCGTTTTCCTGTGACCAAATTAAGCTTGCACCTTGATCATTGTTTTTTTTTCTTTTGCTCTACTCCGATGGTATTCCGTAAAATAGAGCGGTCTGGTGAATGCATTCTGTAGGATATTTGTGGTAGTAATCGTTGCTGTTATCGGTGTAGCTACCATGTTCGAGATGAAGAGGGAGATTCTCCAGTGATCTCCCGGGAGCCCATATGGCGTCCTCGGTGAATAACATCGTATAGTCCAGTTATTTTTTACCCCAACTTCTCTCCCCCGCAAGAAGTTATTTTGTCACTGATTTCCCACCCCAGACTCGAATACTAACTACCTTTGCGGGCCCCAAAAATTGCTAAAAAGAGGAGCTGAAGAGCATCGATTCCGATTTCCGGTCGTAGGAATCGCACGTGCGTCACATGAGAGAAGCAGCAAATACGAGTCATGATGGGGGAGCGCGGCGTCGCAAAAAACCAACCCATGGCGGTCGGTCCTCTGGTGGATAGTGTCAAAAAACGCCTTCCATCGGCACCTGTCCGAACGAGGCGGCGAACAAGCCATATATAAAGCTGGAGCTAGCCAGAACAAAGTTGCCCTTAATGGCAAAACCATTGAGCGCCACCGGAGAAAATATGGAACAATATCATACCCTGGGTGGCCCATTTTCCACGAATTGCTCTTCTTTTACCTGTTCGAAGAAGCGGGTAAACGTTTTGGCTAGCTGGTTGAACGAAGCCTGGTGGTTCAAAGGCGCATTTTAGCGGTGCCAAGTGTTGGTGGAAGTAAACCGGATATGAAGTGTGATGTCGACGCCACCAATTTTGAATTGCCGACAGAGCGAATCAGAGACTGCCGCTTCTCCCCAGGAAGTAGGACTCTGGGGAAGACCCCACGTTTTGCCCAGGAAACTCAATAGCATTCGCCTCCATTTGCTTCTCCCCCACAGATGGAACCCCTCGTACGCGTTTAGCTTCCTCCCCGACTTTTCTTTCCCCCCACAGAACCGTGCTCACTAGCGGTAGTGATGTTCGGTTCTCGGTTTGTGTTGCATGGATGAGGAGAGAGGGGATGATGCAGAAGTGTGCGTCTGGAATGCAGCTCCCGTGATATATAAACGGGGGAGCCCGTCCCCGAGAGTCGATCCTATGGGTTTCTGTGATTCTACGCCGATCCTTCTGTGCAGCGGCCTCGACTCCAATATACGGAGTAGATAAAACCGCAATCATGGCCACTGAATCAAACGAGGCTGCATATCCCCCTCCTTCTCATGTAAAGGATTTGGACGACGTTGAACATGTCGAGAAGGATCTCAAGACGGTCGTGGCCGCGGTCACTGACCGCCCGGTGCATGAGATGTACCTGGAGGCCATGGAGCGGTATCCCAATGACGAGGCCATCGACCAAGCTGACGAGAAGCGACTGTTGCGCAAATTGGATATGCGCATCTTGCCCTTGCTAGGCATTTGCTACTTCTTTTATGTGAGATTCCACCGGAAAGTCGTCATTTGGTTATGATGGACGGAGATTAACCGTGGCCTTAGTATGTGGACAAAACCACTCTCTCATACGCCGCCATCTTTGGCATCAAAGACGACCTGAAGCTTGTGGGAGACGACTATTCGTGGCTCTCCAGCAGCTTCTACTTTGGATGGCTGATCTGGGCCATCCCCTCCAACCTTCTTATGCAGCGCAGCCCGCCTGCATATTATCTTGCCTTTAACATCTTCATGTGGGGTGCTCTCCTCATGTGCCAGGCGGCGGTGAAGAACCTTGGGGGATTGCTTGCCCTGCGAGTCTTGTCTGGAGCATTTGAAGCGATTGCGGATCCAGCGTTTATGCTCATCACGTCGATGTATTATACCAGAGCGGAGCAGCCATCACGCATTTCAGCTTGGTATGCGTTTAATGGAATTGGTGTTGCGGGCGGTGGTCTTATTGGTAAGTGACGACTTGTTTGATATGAAGAAGCTTGGGATACAGAATACTGTTAAATGCGTGTGGGCGACTTGCTAACGCGTGTTTGATGGCCTGCAGGATACGGCATTGGCCAAATCAAGAGCTCCTTGCCCTCATGGCGCTACGAATTCATCATTGTCGGTGCTTTTTGCGCCGCTTGGGGAATCTGCCTCTTCATCTGCCTCCCCAATTCTCCCCGAACTATCTGGGGCTTTAGCCACGACGAAAAGCTCATCATGATTGCCCGCATGAGGCGCAACCAGACCGGCGTGGAGCAGAACAGGATCAACTGGAAGCAAATCAAGGAGGCGTACCTGGACTACAAGACCTGGCTCTTCACCCTGCTCGGCTTTGTGTCCAACATTCCAAACGGCGGCATTTCCAACTTTTCTACTCTTGTCATCAAGGGATTAAACTTTGATACGCTGCATACGGCTCTGCTGGGCATTCCGCAGGGCGTGCTGGTGGTGATTTGGATTGGGTTGGGTGCTTTGGCAAACAAGTTTATGCCAAACAACTGCCGTACGCTCGTCTGCGCTCTGTTCATGTTGCCAACAATTGCAGGTGCTCTTGGATTCCTGCTTGCTCCTAACGATGCATACGTTGGAAGACTGATTTGCTTGTACGTCCACCCTATCGATTTGTCTTTCATGTCACTGAACTAACCTGCGACTTCATAGTTACCTCACCGGTTCATACCAAGCCTCATTCGTCATTTCGCTCTCTCTCATCACATCCAACACTGGTGGCCAGTCTAAGAAGATGATTGTCTCCGGCATGATCTGGTTCGGCGCCTGCATCGGCAACATTGCCGGCCCCTTCTTCTACAAAGCCAACCAGGCACCCTCATACCACCTGGGCATTGGCTCTCTCCTTGTTGCCAACTGCATTGAGCTCGCACTCTTCTTCGTCTTCCGATATGCTTTTATCTGGGAGAACAAGAAGAAAGAGAAGCTGCGAGCAGAGATGGAGGAGCGGGGAGAGCTTATCGCTGGCGAGTTGAACGCCACGGCGTTTGTGGACATGACGGACAAGGAGAATCCGAACTTTGTGTATGTTTATTAATGGGGGAGATTGCATAATGGCGCTGCTCATCCCAAAGAAATTATGATTTTCGTATAATGAAGCCCCGTTGTTCGCGCTTTAATGACCGGATTTCGTTCTTCTCTTTGCCATTCATTGAATTTGTCAGTCCGGAATTTGAATTCCGACATATGTGCGCCATATGGAGATGACAGCGTAGTACCGATGTAATTTGCTTGGCCAGGCCACAGTAGGCCCTCTATACGGCATCCGGATGTTTTTTTGAATGCCCAAAGCGCTACAGGTCTCAAAAATAAGCTTTTTGCATGCATTCGCATCGCATGCCTTTGCGATGGCCCCCTTACTGACCGAGAAGTAGATGCAATGGCGCCGAACTCCCACGTTTCCCCGTCGTCGGTGTCGCGGATTCTCGCATGGCAGCCCTGCCTGGCTTGGTGGGCAATTCCGGTCCGGAGTAAGCAAGCACAAGGTTTCTGTCATGACAAGCTGCTGACAGATACACGTATGATGCGCATTGGGCTAACCCGCGCTTCCTAGGCCTAGGTGTCACACAAAAAGAGGTTGCTTTCGCGAACGGGTCAAGGCGCAGCGGAAGCCTACCCGCTCACATTTGGCCCTTAGCACCAGCCGTGTAAAGCAAAATGTCCGAGTGCTAGGCTAGGTGCGGACTAAAACTGGAATATTAATTCGTCTTTACCCTCGTAATGGTGCCGCGGAGCTCGGAGCAAGTCGATGGAGGGGGGTTCGGAGTTTGGGGCCGATCGCCTGGTATCAAGCAAATATTATTCTTGTATTTGTTCAAACAGTGTTGTTGTTCATACGAAGTACGAGGTAAAACGACCTGGATCTGTCAATTTGCATCTCCGAAGGGCCTGTATGTACTCCTAGCACGGTTGGCTGTACGTAAAAAGCATCTTTGGTCGTCTCTACCTGCAATACATGCAGGACAAACCGCGTCGGGTCTTTCAAGACTGATTCCGCAGTGGGGGTTCCCTGCAAGGAAAATGCTCACGACAATATCGCATGGAAGCAACACTCCGTTACGAGCGTCCCAGCGGGATGGCACGGTCCCCAGTATTGTGTTGGACGGAGGATTAGACTGGGTAGCACATAATAGGTACAGCACGAGTAAGCGAGTTCAGCGGGCCTTGTCGCTTACAGTATAAAGCCTTTGCACAACCGGGGAGCTTTAGGCTGGAGAGTTGGTGCTGATGGTGGAGAAGAGACTGTTGTGTGCGTGGCCGTCGTTGTGAATGCTATAGCGATGTTGGTCATATCGCGCGTCTGGACAGTACCGAGTGGCTGGTCACCACTGATTCGTGTCGGCTTATAGTAGTTGAACCGATTAGAACTTCCGTTGTTGTTAAAAGGAGACACATCTTCGGTTGGCTTTCTCGAGATCTGATCGTCCATGTGCGGTTGGTAAGGTGGCCCAGGACGGACGAAACTGGAAAAGAGTGGAGAGCAAACATTGAAGATGAAAGCTACACACGCCTGCTACCGGACCGGCTATTACCAGGTACTGGTGTCTGCACAAGCATGACTTGTACGCATATGCACAGACTTGGTATGGCTCCTGAAACCAGATGTAACCCCGTATTGGGCGTCTTGGGAGCGGCACGGACTGCTTCCAGGCCATTCCTTCACGCCAATGGGCCCAAGCTGTCGGGTCGTGTCGCTGACGGACTGTGGTGGGTGTGGGATGGCCGTACAAATACACGTAAGATGACGGTTACCAGCCTTTAGTGGTTTGGGTATGCGGTTTGTAGGCTATGAGCACAACACTTCAAGTTGTTTCCCTCCAAGCCTGTGATCTGTCATCTGTCCCAGCTGCCCTCAACAAAGAGCAATCTCTGTACTGTACATGCACGATTGCATACTGTAGATGCAATGCTCCATACCGTAGGTAAAAGAGGAGGGCAGGCAGGTATGGATACCAACAAGCAGGCAAGCAACATGAAGCAAGCAGGGTCTTGCAGCTGCTGATTCGCCTGCTCAGTGCCCGCTGCTGGATGCTTCCTGGTCTCTCTTTTTCCGGGTCGAAGCCCGTTGGTCGTCGGCCGCGGGTGTGGCATGTTGGTAAGCCCAGTGCCCTGTTCCCGGTTCTGCAGATGCAGTGCTGCGTTGCCATTTGACGAAGCGAGCAGGGGGATGGGCGACGTGCTGAGGTGTTCATCTCACCGTGCAGACGGGAGGCTGATTGCACTGCAACTCTTTCATGGAGCACTGGGTATTGTGTATTCCAAATGTCAGCCGCCTCGGAGCAACTGATGGCAATATTGCTCGCCTGTCGTTGCCATCAATTATGTAACGTAGGCAGCAAACTGGGAAGATTGAAGCTGTCAGTGATTGAACCCTAGCCCTTGCCGTTCCCGAAGTGGCCGCGCCAAGTCCGCAACGTGGCGCAGCTAATCAAACAGAGTTGTGCTGCTAGCAGTTCCACCAGAAAGCGCCCAGAACGTTGGAATTCTGGCCACCAAGACGCCAAACGAGCGAAGAGAGAGACGGGACTTTTTTAGCCTCCATCCTCTTTTTTAGTTCTGTCCAAGGTTCAAGGTTCTTTTTACCATTTTACCATTTTCCCTTGTTTCGTTTCTTTTTGAAAATGTCATCAATTCTTTTCTTTTTCTGTCTCTAGTCTTAGCTTCGAGGAACGAAACAATTAAAGGAGACAAGACGAGACAAGGTGAGATGAGACGATCTCTTCCCCCGCGATTCTTGGAAACTACATGTCTGGTGCTAAACTGTCAGCACCTTGACGAGCTCATTGACGAATATTGATTCAACGTTCAATCAAATCAATCCATATCCCTTATACTTTAACATGTAACGACAGCACATCATGCTCTAAAGTTCAAGCCTGGGTGTCAGTGCTACTTTCGGTATCGATTGTCCGTCATATGTATTCCACAGCATTGAATGGATGGACTCGTAAAAGACAGTGGAGGAACCTTGAATCTGCGGAATAACGAGTCCATGCACCGCAGCAGCCCAGGATCTCATCCGATGCATCCATTGCTGGCTGGCGGATATGACACGCGCCGCTCCCCTGGCCGGCTTCGTGGATCACAGCCGTAGTGTAGGCGTATGCTGCTAGCATGGCCCGGGATTGCCTCGTGCAGCCGCTGCCAGCATCCTGCTAGTGCCCTAGTGCCCTGGAAGACCCCTCCGTGGCGCGCTCCGGGCCCTCTTAACCCGCTGTGCCCGCCATGCCCGCCGAACCCACAGGCTAGTCCACAGTGCTGGGTCCTCGTCTGCTGGCCCACCCAGGAAATTGATCGACTAACAGCGGGTGTCTCAACTTGTCTTCATGCTTCTCTCGTGCGTCTTTTGCCTCTGCACCAGACTTTTGCTTTTTTTTCTCTTCGTTGAGGCTTGTGTGTGAAGCAAGTGTTTTCGAGAGCCTCGTTCTATTGCAGGCGGCTCGTGCTGGTTGGCCTTCTTTTTCTATTCTCTCTTTGCTCTCACGTTTTTTTCTTTTCAGCTTCGGCTTTCGTTGTGTTGGTTTCTGGGACGTCTCCATCGTCCATCGGCCAGCCCCCCTCCCCAGTTGTCTTTGCAGCAGTCGCTCGTTCCTTTGGCTTGCATTTCAATCTACTTTGCCTCTCATTTTTGCATTCTCTTCTAGTCGCACGAAACTACATACTGTCGGGGCATGCAATCGCTCTTTTCTCGTTGACTCGACTTGGACGTATTCGCCTGTCCTCTTTGCCTACACTGGATGCCTAGTATCATGTTTTCTAATTCAAATTTTGCGGCCGCTCATTTTCGATAATCTCCTTGCTTCGAAACAACTACACTGCATCTTTCTTGTCGGCCTCCCGCAGCTCTATAACATACATTGCAAAAGATGGTAACAAAGAAGCGAAAAAGTCGGAAGGGGACTCGTCACCAGGAGCCGGAAAAGACATCTCCCCGCGACTCCAAGCCACAGAGCGCCGATGGCACAGACGACGATGATCAAACCATCAAGACTAGTCAGGAGGAATGTGAAGAAAAGGGCGCCGACACTGACCATGTGGAAGACGAAGACGAAGACAATGACGAAGACGATGACAAATTCGAGGTAGCTTCTCTTTACCCAGCGAGCCAGTTCCCCCGTGGCGCGATGAGCACCTACAGATCAGGTGGCGGCCATTTTGTTATGGGGGATTCACGAGCGATGGCTTCAGACCTGTAAGTGGCTGGTGTAATTTTGTCCCCTCCACATATTGTCCTAAACTACAGGGGAGAGTATTTGACTGCGGAACTCAACAGCTACTAATTCGTATACACAGAGCGTCCACTCGATCTCTATGGACCATGGACCTGGACTATCGAGAGCTTCATGGTCGTAGGTATTGTCGCGACTATTACATGCCAAACGATGAGCTTGAGCAGCTGCGTGCGACTTTGCTCCATCAAGTTTTCCTCCACATTTTCGATGGAGAACTCACTCTTGCCCCGCTTGAGGAGCCGCCGACGCATATTCTCGATGTTGGAACCGGCACCGGAGATTGGGCCATCAGGATGGCAGAGATGTATCCGGAATGCGAGGTTGTAGGCACCGACATATCCGCCATTGCGGAGACCGAGAGCGTTCCTGTCAATGTGTTTTTCGAAATCGAAGATGCTGAAGACTGGGACAGGCCGCCAGATCATTATGATATGATCCACATGCGCTATCTGATGGGGTCATTCCGCGACTGGCGTTTCGTTTACGACTGCGCTTACTACTCGCTCAAGCCTGGCGGATGGATAGAGGTGATTGATTTCGAAGGGTTTGACGGCACTATTTGTATCGACCATTTCCCGCCCGAATCTCCTATCCATTCGTTGTTCAAGGATATCCACAAGGCTGCAGATCTGGCAGGCCGAAATTTGTCCATGGATCACCTAGATGCCTTACAACTATGGAATGCGGGCTTCGTGGATGTTAGAGTGATGGAATATTCTCTCCCCATGGTGTTTGGTGAACCATCTGTGGACAAGCTTTGGGTAATGGGTCTGATTGATGGCATTGAATCATCGGCTTTGCGCCTCCTCACCGAACATCTTGGATGGGACCCCGAGGAGTGCAAGGCCGTCTGCGAGCAGGTAGCCAGGGAGATTGCAAATTTATCGAGAAAAGACTCCGCCAAAGACCTTGTTATTAAGCTTCGACTCGCCATAGCACGGAAGCCCGTTCAAGCGCCAAAATCAGAGGCTACTTGGCCGGCAGAAGAACCTCTAAGTCTTAGGCCCCGGAAGGAGGAGGGAACTACAGAAACTGAGCCTAGGCAAGACGAAGTGCCTCCGTCAAGTGACGACATAACGGAGCCCCATCCTTTGCGCGATGCCGTACTGATTGACACACATTGAATTTGAACCGGACATCTAATTCTCCTGTTATCGAACAGACACTCGACGGCGACATGATGCTATTTACAATGACGAATTTTAATGAACACAACGAACTCGACCACAAGCAACCCTTTTGAATACTCTTTTTCATTGGCCACAGTGGATATCTTTTTTTGACAACCATGGTTGGATGGGAGGTTTCTTCGGCCTACGAACCAATCTTTTGACCTTTTCTCGGCTGAATCACGTTTGAAATAGGCCACTCTTTGGCTCTTACTTGATAGTGTAATTTCTACTGCGATATCCTGGATTCCTAAAAGTTGTACATAGGTTGGAGGCGGGGAATCTCGGAGCAGGGAATCCGAAGGCTGACGTCGGGTCATGAATCACCAAGGAGCAGCCCTGCCGCAGTGTTTTTCGCTTTTACTGGCATGTAAACTTGTGCAGCGTTACATGCAATATTGAACTTTTAGATAGCAAGGGCGTTATAGTGACGGGTCAATGGAAAAAAAATAACAGAAATGAATCTCATAATTTTAAATTTACCAACTCATGGACATTACCAAGTATTGACGATATGAATCTGGTGGGTTGATGCTTAAGGTTTGTACTCCTCGTACTGAAGGTACCCCCGTACCTCCCTAACGCAACAACGGTTTAGTCCCATCTGTAGCTCCCTCCTCCACCGCTTTCTGCTGGCGAATTGGAGCTCAAGGTCTGCTGAGCTGCCCAAAGAACCGTCACTGACGCAGCCTGGTGGTTGAACCTTCAACTCTTCTCCGCCATCACCAGCCTCGAGCTTCAACCGAGCTCCCCTCAGCCTTGCGTCCTCCCGTCTCCCGATCCGATCGCTGCCTGTGGGAGTAACTCGCACTGGTCTTTGCTTCTGGCAGCACAGAAGCAGGATTCGCATCCACTTCGCCCTGTGCAAGCCCCGCGCGAGCATGCCTGCTTGAGAAGCCGCCGCCATGTCGCTTGATCCCAACGACGGGTTTGTTGCCGCAGAGGCCGCAGAACCGGAGAGCGGCGACCTGCCAATCTTCACGATCGAGCGAGTGCAGCTGCAGTTCTCCATAGCGGCCGATTTTGCCGCCGCACAGGTAGCCAACAATGTCATCATCCTGGCCCTGACCAGTGGTAGGATTCTGCGCATCGACCTGAACCGACCCGAGGATATTGACGGTAAGCATACCTGGAGGCTATTGTGGGAGAGGGAATCAATTGTACACAGGAAGAGGATTTTGGCTAATCTGCATGGTTTGGCATAGACATTGACCTACCGAGGAAGCCATCCGAGATCGGCATCATTCGACGCATGTTCCTCGATCCCACGGCGTCGCATCTCCTGGTTTGCACGTCGCTCGGTCATAATTTCTACCTACATTCCCAGTCTAAGCAACCCAGGCTTCTTTCAAAACTGCCCGGTGTCTTGATCGAGAGCATAGCATGGAACCCATCTCTACCCACCGCCTCCACGAGAGAGATCCTCATCGGCACCGTAGACGGCAACATCTACGAGGCTTTCATAGAAACGTCCAACGAGTTCTACAGGAAGGAAATGAAACATCTAAAGAACCTACATAAGCTCCCGGATGGGCCCATTACGGGCCTCTGGGTAGACAACCTACATGGAAAGAATGACTTGAGGAGGGTCATGATTGCTACGCAGAGCAGGCTGTTCCACCTTGTTGGCAGAATTAGCCATGGCCACGACGGCAGCGGTTCCATCTACACGAGGATGTTTGAAACGGAACAGCCTGTCATCCACGAGCTTTCAAGAGTCACGTCTGGGGCGAGCTCCACTTTCGTTGTGTCCCCCGACCCGCCTGATACCAGCCCTCACGATGACGATGATGTGCCGGACCGAGCATATGCATGGCTATCATCGCATGGTGTATATCATGGAAAGTTGCTCAATGCGCCTGCAGATTCTGCACTAGGTTCCAAGGTCTTTGCCGAGTCCAAGATGCTCCCAAGAGCTCAAATTGTCACACAAGGGTCGGGGAGCAAACGGAAGCCCTCTACCGAAACGATTGATGCCATTGCCCTCACCCAATGGCACATCGTGAACCTGGTCGGCGGCCGTGTTATTACTACCAATCGTCTTACCGGAGAGATGGTGTCAGAACATGATGTGCTTTCCGCCGGCCAGAAGCCTATTGGGTTTTCGGTGGATTCTCAGAAGAACACCTTTTGGCTATTCACCTCGGAAGAAATCTTTGAGATTGTGGTACGCGATGAGGATCGAAACATCTGGAAAATCATGATGGAAACGCAGCAGTTTGAACCGGCCCTTCAACAGGCTCGCTCGCAAATCCAGAGGGAGACGGTTTCCGCCGCATTTGGAGACTACCTTTCTACCAAAGGCCATTGGAGTGAAGCTGCCATGGTTTACGGCCGGAGCAACAAGCCTTTCGAGGAAGTTGCGCTCAAACTGATTGACAGCAATCAACCAGATGCGCTGCGCATCTTCCTACTTACAAAACTAGGCACGACCAAAAAATCTGCTGTTATGCAAAGGATAATGATTGCGAGCTGGCTAGTCGAGATCTTCATGGCCAAGCTGAACTCCCTCGATGATGCCATCATCACTCATGCAGACCTCTCGGAGAAAATGAACCCTGCAGAATCGAGAAAATTGATCAATTCGGCAAAGAAAGAGTTTCAAGAGTTTGTCAACAAGTATAAAAGTGATCTCGACCACAAGACAGTATATGATGTGATTAGTAGTCATGGCAGAGAAGAGGAGCTGCTCTACTTTGCCAACGCCATCAATGACTACAATTACGTCCTATCTTACTGGGTACAGCGAGAGAGATGGACTGAGGCGCTCAACGTCCTAAAGAAGCAGACAGATGCAGAAGTCTTTTATCGATACAGCACTGTACTCATGTCACACGTTGCACAAGATACCGTGGACATTCTTATGAGACACTCAGATCTCAGTCCACGACGATTGATTCCAGCCTTGCTAGAATACCACCGTGGCTTTGATGGTGAAGCAACAGCCCAGAACCAGGCTATAAGGTACCTCAACTACGTTGTCTATCAGCTCAATTCAACTGACGCGGCGGTCCACAACACGCTCGTGTCCATCTACGCCTCACACCCCTCCAAAGATGAGTCTGGGCTACTATCGTATCTGCAGGCGCAAGGTGATGAGCCTCGGTACGATTCCGACTTTGCTTTGCGCCAGTGTATCCACCACCATCGAACACTGTCGTGCGTTCACATATATACCAGTATGGAACAATATCTTCAGGCGGTTGACCTCGCGCTCTCCCACAACGAGGTTGAGCTGGCTGCGGTTATCGCTGATAGACCAATGTCCAACCCCCAACTGCGCAAAAGACTGTGGTTAGCTGTTGCTCGGAGAGTCATTTCTCAATCTGACGGTATCAAAACGGCAATTGAATTCCTGAAGAGGTGCGACTTGCTCAAGATTGAGGATCTGATTCCGTTCTTTCCCGACTTCGTAGTCATCGATGACTTCAAAGAGGAAATTTGCGAGGCTTTGGAGGACTACAGCCGAAACATTGACAATTTGAAGAAAGAGATGGACGAGTCTTCACAGACGGCGACAAATATTAAGCTGGACATTGCTGCTCTGGATCACAGATACGCCATTGTGGAACCTGGTGAGAAGTGCTATGTATGTGGGCTGCCCTTGTTGAGTAGGCAGTTCTTCGTCTTCCCATGCCAGCACTCTTTCCACTCGGACTGTATGGGACGGAAAGTACTGGAGCAAGCTGGTGTTGCCAAGTCAAACCGAATCAAGGAACTCCAGATGCAAATTCACAAGGGGCTTGTGAGCGGTACGCAGCGAGAGGCCGTTGTGGCTGAGCTTGATGCCTTGGTGGCGTCAGCATGGTAAGTCTCCCCGTTCTCCGTTATGTTACATCAACACCTTCCTATTGAGGACAAATAGCTGACCGTCTCATAGTATTTTATGCAGTGATTTCGCCATCAAGAGAATAGACGAACCGTTCATTACGCGGGATGATAACCCTGATGAATGGGCATTATGAGGCGGGCATAATATACTCAACGTGGGACATATAGAACTGTAGATACCCCAACCTGACAATCATACAACTTATTAGCGACGAATACATTTTTGTTTACACAATGGCTTCTTTCTTGGATTTGTTTGCGTGGCAACCCGGTGAAATACGTCAAAGAGGTCATTTGAGACGAGCAGGTAAGTGCACTTTTTTTTTTTATTGAAGTTAGAACAGTGCTTATTGCTAATTACAAAACATGGTACCAAAGAGCAATTTTCAAATCATCCATTCCTTCATCCTTTCTTCTTTCGATGGGTGTATAGCAAGGAATCAAGTGAATTCAATGCTAGCTAAAACTGTACGACCCGCAGACTGCTTACGCAGCCGCGACAACCTTACCAGTGCCGTATTGGATGTTGTAGACGGTCAGTCCGCTCTTGCGAGGGTCACCGAGCGTGTGAGGGCAGGTAGGCTGGTTGCTCACTGAGAGGTTGAGCTTGCAAACCTCATCCCATCCGAAGTGGCACACGGAGTCCTGGAGGTTGATGAGCTCGTAGTTCTTGGCAACCCACGAGTTGGGCTGGTTAAGGCAGCTGGCGACATAGTTGATGCTGTTGGAAGCAGACAGGGGCAGCTTTCCGTTGTGGAGGAGGCTGGCGCACTGGCTGTTGTCGACGTACTGCCACTGAACATTGGTGCCGCCGCCCTGGTGGGGTTCGACGGTGGCAGGCTTGTTGAAGAGGAGCTGGTTCCAGGCGTCGTAGGAGATGTCGAAGGCTCCGCCGGATTGGTCGATCTTGAGGACGTTGATGCTGCGGCCCTGGTAGGTGAGCTTGACGCAGATGTTGTTGCAGTCGACGGGGCTGGGCCAGTAGGCAACACGGTTGGTGTTGATGTGGCAGCCGATGACGCCGACGGAAGAGGAGTATTGCTCGTGGGGGGTGATGGAAGCGGTGCCATCACGAGGGAGGACAGCGGCCGAGACGGAGGCGGCGGCGGCGGCAGCGAGGCCGACGAGGTTGCTGAGAGAAGGCATATTTGGAAAGAATGAGCTTTGTTTGTTTCGAAAGAGTGGTGTGGTCTTTGTCTCGTCAAGAAGCAGTGGGAAGTTACTCTTGTTGCTTGGTGATGATGTTTCAAAAGTGATTCACGAAGAGGAACTAAGCTGCTCTTATATACCCTTTTTTTCTCTACTTGATGAAACGACTACATCGGAGAGAACGAAATATGAAGATCACCTTACGCCCTCTGCTTCTTGGCCAAGGAACAACATTATGGAGTTGCTTGCCTTAGTGCTCACTAGCCCATTGCATGCATCAGCAGCATCGATCAAAGTCGGGAATGTGACAGATTCTACTGCCTGTAACAACAGATGCTTGTTTCGTGGCTGTGAGTTCTCGGATGTGTTGGGACTGGGGGGGGTTGAGAGTGAGATGCATTTGCGCGAACCTCCTTGCCGGGTTGGCGGAGAAGACAAATCATCATGCCGGAGACATTATTCACGACAGTCAATCACCAACGTGTTGTTTCTTTATGCACAGGCCCTTCAAAGCATTGAAACAAACACCTCCTTTTTTTCTGTTTTGTTACCTTGATGGAAAATAAGGGAAAACATGCCATAAGACAAACGGGCCCGGTAGATGGGGAGAGCTGAGCTGGATTTGCCTCAAGGATACGTTCGAACAGGATTAGAAGACGGAATCCCTGTTCCGAGGCATTGTCTTTTGCCTGTTTAGGTTAATGACCTGCCAGGCACGGCGATGCCATTGGATGATGTGGGCATGTGCGGCAACGGGGATGCCAACCCTGAGTTTAAAATTGAATTGCGTTCTTTTGCACAGCGACTTTCCTTCCTGGGCTTAGGAAGCTTCGGTGAACGCGTTGCGTAAGGGAAAATCTTTGCTGTATGGGAATTTGCATGGAAGAGGTGAGCTTTGGATGCCTATTTCGCTTGGCGGGATGGAAAGTTTTAGGTCATAAAAATAGAAATGCTCTTGGCTTTGGAATATATTGTATGGATTGGGCAAGTGATGAAACGGGTTCCGGATTTGGAAACTCTGTTGTTTTCTTGGCTGTTGACTATTGACTACAAGCATCTTGTTCTTGCATGAACTATCGACCCATGAGGAATATTGAGTAGTGTCTCATTCCATTATTTTGTCAAGCTATGTGATTTTTCTTTTTTCTGCTTACGCTGATGATGTGATCATCAGCTTTGGAAGTACTAGAGAGGCCTAGAAGTGCAGCTTGCTTGTTTGCTTCAACCCTTGCCTTAGCTAGTAAAGATGCATCTTAAAATGCTTCGGGTAGTTGGTGCTATGACTTCTTGTCAACAATTGCAACCATCTAAGCTTTGCCAACTTAGTTCTACGCGTTGTTGGTTGTCACTGGCCATAGCTAAATGGAAACACCAATGCGCAACTGGGCAGCTGCCTCAATCCCAAGCATGTGCTTGGGTGGTCATTGCAGTAGCTGATCTAGATGAAGCACTCGACGATTAAAGTATAATGCCGCAATAATAGAATTAGTATAAGATCTAGACCGAGGTCTAATTCTCTCCTAACAGTCATCGGAATGTGCACCCTGTTTGTCTTCCAACCCTGCAAATGGCGCATGCAACCAGGCAGTCAGTCTGCGTTTGCTAGGACATTGAGAGGAAATTAGATGGATAAACATGATTTAAGGTAAAATAACCTTACATCTTTAAAAGCTGGCTATGGTATTTTTCTCTACCTTTATAAGCATATTCCAGCTACCCATTGAAGTGGTCGAGCTATGAATGATCTTCAACTTAGCCTGAGATTTACAACTGCCAAGGCGACGATCCGGGCCGTTCCTGCGATATGCTTATAAAGCTTGTAGAACCAAGGATACTGAATGAACCGTAGTGGATATCGAACGAACCATGCGTTGTTTCCACCTGGCGGTAAAAATGTTTGGGTTGGATCCATTGGTTAGTAGAGGTGAAGTGTCCCTGCGTGGAGCACGGGTGCAGGCTAGGGGTCCATGGGATCTCATTACGGCCCCCGAAATTGTGCTCAAGTTGCTAATCTTTTAACTAAAAAAAAGTGAATATAGAACATTGATGGTCTTTACTTGGCTACATTCCAGTGAGGTATTTGCTGTCCAGGTTAATGTCGGAGCTGCCTTGTATGGCTATCTCTCGTCTAGTTACTTTCCGACGTGACCGGGGGCGGCTAAACTTGCGAATGACATGTTACATGCTATCCATTACGCTGGAAGACTCATTGTTGGTATGAGCCAACATCCATTCGACAGTGATCCGTGCCCAGGGTTCCTGTAGGGACCAGACATCAGGGTAGGCAGCTATGGCCAACTGCGGAGAAGAATACGGAGCACAGATGGAGAACCGTCTGTGCTTCTTGACGATAACTATCCGGATGAAGCTGAAATGACTTGGTTAAGGAGTCATTGGACTTGTTGCATCATGATGCCGAGGAAATTGAATGTTTCCCTATAACTACGTGGTACAGAGGAGCAGATTTTGCATCACATTCATTAGCACAATTCACTATATTATGTCTTGGTCTGCATAAGTGAAAAATGTGATTAAATGTCACCGACATCATCTGAACTGTTATATACGAGTTTTTGTTCTACTAAAATATCTCCTCCTTGAAGGAATGACTTGGCACTCGTTGCTTACCTCGGCCACACCCATCACGAGTCCTGCTCAACTATAGACTGTAGCCTGTGTTGCAGCTCCTCAAGATGTGATTTGCCATGCTCATCTCTGTAATTTTCCAAGATTTCTCTCCGCATAACACGCCGTGGAGCCCTTCTTCCTGTGAACAACTCAAATTGCGCACAACCTTGCTCTGGAAGCAGGTCTAGACCGTCCATGGCTACCCAACCTCGAGAAGCACCATCTCTAGCTTGCTTCAAGAGGGGCGTATTCAACGTCTTGTATCCAAGTTCGATAATGACACCTCCTGTTTGATGGCCCAGCCATGCATCTGGCATCCTGAACTCGGGTGACGGCGTGTTGCCTATTGGATGAGTCGGAATGCAGGATATAATGACGGATGGGTATCGGTACTCTGATGGCCAAGGTTGGTCGAGAGACGTGAAAATATGGAACTTTATTTCTTGGTCGTTGGGGAGCGAAGTCTGTTCCGTTTCTCGGAGCAGTTGTTGGAAGTGGGACACCAGTTTCTTTGCATTCTCCGTCGTCCGATTGTAAATAGCAATATTCTTGATGCCAACTTGGAGCATGGCGTAAACTGCAGCACGCGCCATTCCTCCTGCACCTATGATGAATCCCCAAGTGGCCAATCTTACAGCGTTGGCTGGGGATAATCCACGTCGGATGCAAGCTCGAATCCCGATCCAGTCGGTATTCTCGCCATATAAAGCCAGAACCGGACCGGCTCTGTTGACGCCAGCTAAAAGGGCAGAACCTGTTGGGATGGTACCATCTGACTTGAGCTGGCGAATGGGAATTAGAGTGTTGGCAGCCCCGATGGCTCTGGCATGAGGGCTGAGATATTTGGTCAAAGTCGTCACTTCAACTTTGAAGGGTAATCCGATTGATGCTCCGCCAAAATTGGGATCGTATATCAGATGCTCTACGGCTTTGAGAGACTCAGCGGAGTATGGCTCATAGTGGTGGGGTATTCCGCAGGATGACAATGCTGCATTATGCATGGCTGGGGACATGCTGTATCCCACATTGGCTCCGAACACATATAGCTTCATTGCATCATAGACAAAAGACGCATATAAAGCATTTGTAGCTTCTTTCGCTGTAATGTAAGGGTATGGAGCGCATCTTTCGTCGGCTTGTATAACAGGACTGGGAGCTACCAGCGTAAGAATTTGGTTAAAGCAAGCCGAGTGTCGACCGAGGTGTCCGCTGTTGTATGCAATAAGTGGTAGTTTATGAGTTTTAAGAGCTGAAATCTTGGATTTGAACCGTGAAATGACAAAGTTGTCCTCCATTGTCGTGGCTTGTCGAACCAGCCGCACCAGATCACAGCCGAGCTGGCACGCTTTCTGGTACCAGGATGTCCAAGTTGAAGATTCCCAAGACTGAATGTCTGTTGACACGAAATAGTTTCCAACAATCTTTGATCGGCTCTTTGCAGAAATAATGCTAGAGAGATCAGATTGATCAAGGCGCAGGTCGACTGTAAGCATCTCCGGTGCCAGAGATAGGGTATGTGCGAGTAGATCTAGATATGATCGCACTACTCTGCTGTTTGGAACCTCAGGTAGTTTGATGTGCAGCAAAATAGGGAGCATGGTGCTCCTTCGTACAATGCCGATAGCTTCGGTGATTTTGTTCGCCAACCCATCGACGCCATCAAGGAGATCGCCAGCTGTTGTCAAATTGTTGACAAAGATTTGAACAGCATCCACGCCAACTATTGAGATTTCCCAGTCTTGGCTCCCGCTCAAGATATCTTGGATGTGTACCGAGAGACAGTATGTAAATTGTCTGTCCTCAGGTGCAATGCTGGCAAGCGGAAATGCAGACTCGAAGAACGGTATCGTGCCCGCCGGATAGATAAGTGACAAAAATTTAAGAAAATGTCTTTCAGCTTGCTTTAAAGCAAGATATGGTGGCGCATTTGTCGCAAAACCACGATCATTCATCCCATTTCCGTAGAGGCTTGTCTCGCGGATCTCAGATACGTTGAAGAACTCCAAATTAGTGCAACTGCGATAAAATAGGTTGCTCATCTTCATTAAGTTGTGGGCTTTTGTCCTGTCATTGAGTTTTAGATGACCTTGGATAGCATCGATATCTCGAATGACATGGATGACCGGGTTGGTGGCTGAAAACTGCCGAAGGAGGCTTTGGATTTTCCTCTCCATCCATGGACAGACGATGATGCATCCTGTCGGATTCTGCTCAATGATATCTTGCAATACCTCGGCTTGTTTTCGATGACACTCAGCATTTCCATTGATCTGCTTGAAGCTCGAACTCGAGGAGCCAGTTACTGACTGAAATGCGACCTCAACATTGATGACTCTCTTTTTCAGGGCAGATGCAGCCATAATAGCCAATGTCGATTTTCCGGAGCCGCGCAGTCCTACCAATGCTAGAGAAGCATCGGAACTGAAGTTTGGAATCTTGCCTCTAGAAGGAGTAAACGGCGGCGTAGGAGTCCTTGAAGTGACTTCTGACGCATCAGACGATGAATTGATGAAGGCATACGGCCTCAGCCGGCTATCGACACCGACTGGTCCTTCACTGAGGTTCATCATGGCAGCCAACGATCTCTTGACACCAGCCATAATGTCTCATTCTGCTCCAATTCGAGTATCTCCGTGGGCTTCTTGGGATGTGTATGATTGCTAAGATTTCCGCTGATGAGGGTTCAACACACGGCGCCGCAGATGGTTCTAAACTTTGTTCATAGTAAGAGGGGATAAGCATTTATCCGGATTGAATTTGCCACCCGCCAGAAACTCTAGCTCGCCTTACCCCAGGTTTTCCCCAGTCATGCTCCTATCCAATGGCAGCGTAATGAATCACAAGAATTACGCAAGTTTATCAAAGCGCGACTGAGAGAGAACTGTGAAGATATTTCAGCTTTTCTCGGCATTCATTCATACAGACTTGTGCAAACTTGATGCTGGCGTCGAGTATTATGATGCTGGCACGGCAATTGAAAATTGACCGAACCACGATTCAGATTTCAGCTCTCACAGCAACCGTCAGCGAGACATGAACGGCCAGAATGCCGCCTCGAAAGAGATCAACAGACGAATTGGGTTCTGTTAGGAAACCGGATACGGCAACTGCGGCTTCTAAAAGACGACGCGTTTCCCTGGCCTGTGATGGCTGCAGAACAGCTCGAGAGAAATGCGACGGTGGCCGCCCACATTGTGGCCGCTGTGTGTCTCAAAATCGCACCTGCTCATATACACCAGCATCCAAGAAGAGAGGAATCCAAAGCGGATATCTGAGAGCTATTGAGCTATCCCTAGCATGGCTACTGGAGAGTATTCCTGACTGCGAAGAAACTCTTTATCAACTACTGGTCAACGACGATGGGAAGGGTGGCGCGAGCATTCTCATGAGCAAAGGCAAAGCTGCAAACAAGTTGCATAAGCAATGGAGTAAGTGCCGGGTTCATAAAGAGATTGAATCATTGCTTTGTCAAAGCGGTACACAAAGAGTGGAAGCGTCCAATACCGAGGACTCGGACACGGAGGGCGATGTTGGAGAAGAATCGACCAGCATAACACAATTGCCATTGGCAGCATCACATCCGGAAGACGCAGCAAAATTTGGCCAAGCTTACTCGTTGAAAGAGCCCCAGTCAGTGAGAGATCGGGCCTTAAAACTCCCCTCGAATCATCAACACCTCCTTGAAATTTACTTTGCATATACTCACTGCTGGCTTCCTATCCTCGATAGAGAGCAAATCTTTGCAACGGCGGCGATATGCAATTCCCGGGGCCAGAGTGTCTCTGGATATTCAGGGGAGAATAGCATCGCCTCCTCCAGCCTTGCTGTTCTCTGGTCTGCCATGGCCGTCGCAGCCTTCCAAGATGCACATTCTTCAGCTCCTCCTATAAGCGAGGAGATTATATCGCCATCCGAGATTTTCACAGTGGCTCGCAGCTTGATCCCGCAAGAGGAAGATAATTTCATTATTTCCGACATCCAAGCAATTCTCCTCCACTCAATTATTCTTATCGGCCGTGAGAGCATGCTGGCTGCATCCTTGATCGCAGGAAAAGCCATGCGTCTTATTTCTTATATGCGATCCGGCAGAGAAAATCAAGTGCACAGTGATGTGCAAAGATCAAGTCTGGCGAAGCTGGCCGCCGCTTGTAATCTTGTCGAGACTCTGACGTCGATGTGCATTGGACAGCCATCCCATTTGTTGGACACGGAAGATCTTCATACAACGGAACTATCGCAGCATGGATCGAGCTTTAGTGATTCTTTCTGTCCGACTTACGGCTTCGGAAAGCTTTCACTGAATGCGGAATCTGCCCGTCCCCAAATCACACATTCCCTTACCACGCTGGACCAGCTGAATCGATTCGCTCGGATATTAAGTACGCACGCGGCCGGAAAGATTCACCAAAACGGTTCTGTCACAGCTGTTGCTGTCGGAGATCTCGTGTCATCGCTGAATTCGCAATTCAGCTTTTGTAACTCTGTCATTGCTGGAGAGGCAACACCAATGTTACCATCGGCTTTCCTTGCTCAGGCCATGTTCTTGGCCACGACTGTGGAGCTTGTTCCGGGCCAGCGATCGTCGCTTATATCCAACTTCTTGGAAGTGGTCGAGTCCAGCATAACGAATTTCGGGGCTTGTGGCACCCCGCCCATCACAGTTGCTCTCTTTTTACTTGTCCAACAAAAGGGAATAATGGATGAGATGCGGACATCTGAAGCAAATAGGTGGAATTCGGCATTACACACGATCAAGGCAGTGTGGGTGCAAGATGAAATAACTAAAAGTACTGTATGCATTTCGCCCAAGACCTCAACGACAAATAACTCCTGGGGAGGAATCATCGGATTGGAGCCATTGGGTCGGAACAAGTCAACGGGTCAAGGTAGAGATGACTACCAAGGTTCCCCGACAGGATCATTTAGCCAAGGATATGGATTATTCCCAGCAGGTGTACACGTACCCGCCAGCTCTCAGGTGTTTACGGCAAACCAGCATAAATATTCTCCCGCGCAACTCCCCCCGGATCTTGGCACGATGTTTGTGCCGTCTTCGGTCGGCCCAATACAGCCAGTTGGCCGTGTTCTACAAGCGGGGGGATCTCATACCGATTCAGTCGACTACGATGCCATTTTAGAGGAGCTGGGTAATATCGATTATGCTGACAGCATCAGCGTGGACCCCCAGTTCATGATGAATCTCGGCTTCGCTCCAGGTTCCACGTTGGAAGAGATGTTTCATGCGGGCTCAGGCGTTTAAGGGCATTTACTTGATAGAATCTATGTATTCGTACGCACTTTTAATCATCAGGACACCCAATGCTCTGGATTCAGAACAGCGTATACCTCCTTAATTTCCACCGTTTTCCATGATACGTAAGAGGCTGGTGAAGGTCACATGGATAGTCTAGTTGTTGATGCTGGTTAAAATGCTTCCCACCCTCAGCCATCTGGATATTTCTTTATCCCCGCGTGGGTGGCGTCTCCACATCCCGACGCCAATCCACCAAGATCTTTGTTCCGCTTCCAGCCCTTCGACCCCAGATTCTTCACAACCCCGACCAATTGTGCATGAATTAGCTCTTCAGTGCTGACTACTTCCCCGTGGGGGAAGCTGAACCAGCCTAATGGCTCGTCACATCCTCTTATAAGTCAATCAACCATCCCCAGGGCCTTGCTTCGATTCCAGAGGCTCCCAAGTCAACTAGCACTCTTGAAGTGTCTGGACATCTTTCATCATGACTATTCTTTCTTTGAAGGAGGACCGGCCTACGCCAAAGGCGGTCTACAACTGGAGAGTGTATGCCTGCGCTGCTACAGCATCCTTTGCAGCATGCATGATTGGCTACGACTCTGCCTTCATTGGCACCACTCTCGCCCTCCCTTCGTTTGAGGATGAGTTTAATTTTGCGCAATACTCCAAGTCACACCTCACACTTATCCAACAAAACATTGTATCCGTCTATCAAGCCGGAGCTTTCTTCGGCAGTTTGGCGGCCTATGTCTCCAGTTACTTTCTGGGACGTAGGAAATCTCTCCTCACCTTTGCCGCCTTCTTTATGATTGGAGCCGGCATGATGCTTGGTGCCAACGGCAGCCGTGGCCTCGGCTTGATTATTGGTGGCCGTGTGCTGGCTGGCTTTGGAGTGGGAGGATGCTCCAACATGACACCCATCTACATCTCTGAGCTTGCTCCGCCAGCCGTTCGTGGACGTCTCGTGGGCCTCTATGAGCTCGGGTGGCAAATTGGTGGATTGGTCGGATTCTGGATCACATACGGCGTAAACACAACCCTGGCGCCCAGTCACACGCAATGGCTCATCCCATTTGCCGTCCAACTTATCCCTGGAGGAATGCTCCTGATTGGCGCCATATTTATACCTGAATCTCCTCGCTGGCTCTTTTTGAAGGGTAAACGGGAAGAAGCCTTGAAAGTTCTTTGCTGGATGAGACAGCTTGACCGTGACGACAAGTACATCGTGGAGGAAGTGGCCTTCATTGATGAAGATTTGGATCGCTATCGCCGAGAGGTTGGTGCTGGTTTCTGGAAGCCATTCCTGGCTCTCAAGGAGCGCAAAATCCAATGGAGGTTTTGCCTTGGTGCTCTTCTATTTATCTTCCAGAATGGTGAGGTTTCCCGCTTTCTATATGAAATATCTTCTAGCTAACGATGCATAGGCTCCGGCATCAACGCGATCAATTACTACAGCCCGACTGTGTTCCGTAGCATCGGCGTCCAAGGAACCAATACAAGCTTTCTTACGACAGGCATCTTTGGAGTGGTCAAGACAGCCTTGACCCTAGTCTGGCTTCTTGTGCTCATCGACCACATGGGACGCCGGAATCTTTTGATGATTGGTGCCATCGGCGGCTCCCTATGTATGTGGTTCATTGGAGCTTACATTAAGATTTCGGATCCTACTTCCAACCAGAACAACACCACGTTATCTTCCGGAGGCATCGCGGCCATCTTCTTCTTCTATCTTTGGACGGCATTCTACACGCCATCCTGGAATGGAACGCCGTGGGTCATCAACTCAGAAATGTTTGACCAAAACACACGATCTCTTGGCCAGGCTAACGCAGCCGCAAATAACTGGCTATGGAATTTCATCATTGCGAGATTCACTCAGCAAATGTTTGAAGCGTGGGGATATGGCGTCTATTTCTTTTTCGCATCTCTCATGATAATTTCCGTCGTTTTTGTATTTTTCTGCATTCCCGAGACAAAGGCATTGCCTCTTGAGGCCATGGATCGGCTGTTCAAGATTAAGCCGACATGGAAGGCCAACAAAATTTTAATGGAGCAACTTCGAGCTGAGAATCAGGATTTTGAACAGAATACGCGAGGGATAGGTTGGGACAATGAGAAGGAAACATCGGCTGAGCAGGTAGAAGATGGAGCAGTCAAGGTGTAAAGCCTGATCAATATGTACATGTAGTAAATGCTGCACTTTATGATCTGAGCAAATGCATTAATTATACATGCTGGCCTTTCGCAAATTGTCGATGTTTCCGATGATTTATAAGCCAATACAACAAAATTCAACGAATCGAGCAGAAGAAATTGTGCCAGGCCTGCGACTTGGCGAGGAACCTTTACCAGTGTTCACTTCATAGACTCCTTTCCAGACCGCTATGAAGGTTTTCAACTGGCACTGGAGGGAATATTACACCTCTAGATTAAGCAATCAACGGTCTGGTTTTTAATTTGAATGTGTAAAAGGTTTTTATTTATTTTTTACAATTTTGACTGTGATCTCTGAGCTACATTCGCCGCAATGGCAGCTTTTACTTTCTCGGCCGGCAATCCATCAATCGTGTTTCCAGTCCAATATGTATCTTGCTCCAAGCCTTGCCATATAAGCGCCTCCGTTCCCAGAATAACATTCCAGCCTTTCTTCTCGGCCAGCATGCCCAACGCTGTAAATGGCGTTGGATTATAGCACATTTCAAGCATTGCACCCTTGTGCTTCTTATCTAACAAAATCTCCGTGATTTGTCTTGCAAGTTTCTCGTCGCTTGTTTGCGGTGTAAAGTCCGGCACGCATGCAACAATGGCACCAGGGCCTTCAACATTTCTCGCCTGCTCTGCGGTGGCAATGTGTAAGAGACCTTCACCGTAGCCTCGTGATGTGCAGTCCCGGATGACGGCCTCGACTTCGGAAGCATCGCGGTTTACGAGGTATATTTCTTTGACGTTCATCCACTTTCGTAGGGCATAGATGGCGCTTCGTGCGGCACCTCCTCCGCCAATGACGAGAGCTGGCCGGTTGTGGTATGTGAAGGCCGGATCCTTGACATTGTAGAAAAAAGAGTCGCGGATACCAATGACATCGGTGTTTGTACCACACAAGATTCGCTGGCCATCCCTCTCTTTGAAGAAGACTGTGTTGCAGGCTCCCACGTCGCGACATTCGTCGGTCATTTCATCAAGATGAGGAATAATGGCCACTTTGTTTGGCATTGTAACTGATGCACCTGGATGAGAAACATATAATTAGATTACAAAGCTGCTATTTTGAGGAATGGTTGAAATCACTTACCGTAGCATGATGGATGCTGCACCAGATCTAAAAAGAGTCGTAGGTCTGCTGAATCGAGACGAACTTGGCTCCAGCGGAGATTCAGATGGTCGTAGATGACTTGATGAAGGAAGGGAGACAGCGAATGTGTGAGTTTTTGGCCGAATAGATAGCCATGCTTGTCGAGACCTGCACGCTCAATATCATTGGCGATGGATTCAGTCGACATGGCCATTTTGGACTGCTGGGGATCTATTGCAGAGTCGCAGGTGATGTTTGCTCTGTCAAATGCTATAATTGAAGAGACTTTGGGTCTTGGTCATAACATCGCTGGCACGGACGGTTTTGAAGAGCGAAGATATTAAGAATGAATTCCAGATTAAGAGGCAGTGGATTTGAGAACAAGTCTGATGGATTACTGGCAAGGGCGCTCGCTTCGACGAATATCCGGCTTTCTCCCCCTTGCTAGGACTCGGATCACTGGACCATTGTACAACACGAACGAAGCGTGGGGTGAGAACATAGCCGCGATCATCTGTGGATCGAGGGCGAAGTTCCCCGCGATCCGGCTAAAGACTTATCCAGACAAGGAGCGACGATCGCCTCGATTGACTGGTTATTTTTTTAAACGGTGCTTTTACGAAGCTTATATTTATCTCCTACGATCGCGGAATAATGACGGAATAGTTTCCTTTCGGATACCATCAAGACCGCTTCATAACAGATGATGTAGGACATCTCGGCTACTCGCGGTTTCCTGTCCAACCCTCGTGTCTAAAGGGGTAATCTTTATCCGTCATGCTTTCAGAGGAATGATTTCTCACTTTTCTTATCATTAAATACGTGGATTATGACCTGATTTGGGTGGAAGTGATAACATAAGATCTGACAGCGATGATGCTCGTTCTTTGCTATAAGATAGTTTCCTTTCCCATAAGTAGGGCGGGATGGGAAACACCTAGTAAAATTAAACCTCATTGTCTATTTCACCTTCCAAAAAATACTATCGTCTCTACCACAAAATCTACTCTCTTCGTCTGTATTTGAATCATCAACATGTTGTATAAACCCAGTATTTGCACCGTATCCCTTGGACGATGCTCCGCGGGACACTCTCTTGAGCATAAACTTGACATGGCAAGAAAGTACGGCTTCCGGGCTGTCGAGCTGTTCTTCGAAGATCTCGTCGATTTGACAAAGACCATGCCTGGAGGCGACCAGTCGAACAATCAACTTGCAGCGGCAGCCATAATTCGTCAGTTATGTGACGACCGGGAACTATCGATCCTGTGTTTACAGCCCTTTATGCATTACGAGGGACTAGTAGACCGACAATTACACCAGCAAAAGTTAAATGATGCGAGATTATGGGTGCATCTGGCACATATTCTCGGGACTGAGATGATACTCCTTCCGAGTAGTTTTCTCTCCCCTTCAGAAGTATCGCCGAGTATGGATGTGATTGTCCAAGACATGGTCGAGATTGCCGAGATTGGTCTTGAAGCCTCCCCAGTCATTAAATTTGCTTACGAGGCTCTGTGTTGGGGCACAAGAATTGACACATGGGAGATGAGCTGGGATGTGGTGCAAAGAGTCAACCGCCCGAATTTCGGTATTTGCCTCGACACTTTTAACATTGCTGGTCGAATCTATGCAGATCCGTCGGTATCATCTGGCCGAACTGATAATTGCGATGAAGCGGTCGAAGCCTCTCTTCACGAGATGATTGCGTCTGTTGATCCGAAAAAGCTATTTCTAGTACAAATGGCAGACGCAGAAAAGCTGTCTCAACCCCTTGACAGTAGTCATCCATTCTATAACGAGGAGCAGCCGCCTCGAATGAGCTGGTCTCGGAATGCCAGATTATTTTATGGGGAAAGCCAACACGGCGGATATCTACCAGTTAAACAAATCCTGGACGTCATCATCAGAGATCTTGGATATCAAGGCTGGTTGAGCTTTGAAGTATTTAATAGGGCATTGTTGGAGAAGGATGGGCGAGTACCGGAGACAATGGCCAGGAGGGCGGCACAGTCATGGAGGCGGATGGAGCGCGACTTGTCACTTGGACGGTCTACCATGAATTATAAAACTCAAGCACTGTTGTAAACTTATTATTTGATATTTCTATAGCGAAAAATTTGATGTTTATTTATACTCTACAGCTTAGATGTTCCAGCGTTAACCTTCATATGCTTCGCGGCAAACTCAATTGCAGCTGTATATCCAAACACGCCCAATCCGCAAATGACCGCTTGCGCTTTATCGCTCAAGTAACTATGCTTTCTCCATTGCTCCCGCGCATGAACATTCGAGACGTGAATCTCAACAAACGGAATTCCGACGCCAAGGAGAGCGTCGCGAATCGCCACGCTGGTGTGTGTAAAGGCGCCAGGGTTGATGATGATTCCATCCACTTCCCCTCTTGCTGCTTGGATTTTATCTACAATGGCTCCTTCGTGATTGGATTGAAAGGCTTCGACTTGTATTGATAGCTCTGCTGCTTGTATTTTTGCTTGTTTGACGACATCGTTTAGAGTTGCTGATCCGTAGATTTGAGGCTCCCTGGTGCCAAGAAGATTCAGGTTGGGGCCATTGATAAGAAGGATTTTCTGCGCCATGATGAGAGCAGTTTTATTGCAGTCGCTTCAAAATGTAGATAATATCAATTGATATAATCAGTTATTATTTATAGCCAAAAGCACAAGATGTACGTGCTTGTCTGGACACATGGTATATAATCGGGAGGCGACCCGTTTCTATTGGCACAGGCGCGGGGATAAAGATTCATCCGTTGGAATCCTGAGTTTCCGGCACACACCTGCATCTCCTTACAGGCATGTAATACTGAACAATAACTACCAACCTCCGAGTCATTTAGCTGTACACCTCTTTATCTACCTATATTTACCATATCATTTTACATCTGTTTCATATTGATTCGATGGAACCGTATCTTAGTTGTATTATATAGAGTCTACAGACGTCTGAAGCCATTTAAACCGTTCCGCTTTCGAGGTTCTAGTCCCACTTACAGTAGAATACGGGCGATATAACTGATAACACTGAGTGAAAGGATCAGAAAACAATAACCGCGAAGAAATCTATTGCTAATCTATATATCCATCTATGGGATCATGAAAGTGCATGCTGTTGAAGCAGCTAGCGGAACACAAAAGCATGAAGTCATCTGGTCGCGTTTGTTGAAAACGAACGCCAGGAAGCCGGAAAGAGAGAGAAGGAGAAAATTCTGCCTGGAGGATACAGAGATACGATTGGCCGGTGTTTGGAGAATGCGTACCTGACACATGCGATTACCTTGCCGGATTGAACTGGTACCGAAGGCAACCAGCACCAATGTATCCGCCCACACCACCATTGTTGCCTGTGAAAAACACAAATTAGATAGACTCATATGATGGGAAATGGTTAAACTTACAATCTGTGTATGTTTTCAGAAGAATATCTTGACAGCCCAAGCTATTATCACCCGCAGGAAGCAGAGCACTCTGACTGTCTACCGTTGTCTCGCAACCAGGTATCCAGGAAACAGAGAAGTAGAAACCCCCCATGGTGGCTTGGACACTCTCACTAGAAGAGTTCATATAGACTGGCTTTAGGTTTTGAAAGTTTGGCCAAGAGGCTGGCCCCCCATCCAAAAAGTAGGTCATACAGAATGCTCCGGCTTGTCCCTCCAGGTCTCTCTTATGAACGTCAGCATGTCCTGGGAACCAAGACTCGGCTGCACACACGGCGTGTCTCAGCTCTAGAGGCACTTTCGGAATCTCAGTAGGCTCAGGAGGCGATTCTGTAGTGGAGGTGGCGGAGGTGGTGGGAACAGATCTGATCGCGAGGCTGTAGGTGCCACAGCCAGCATCAAGTGAACCCTCGTTATTGGTCTTGAATTGAAGACACTGGGTTCTTATGATACTTAAGTAGTCGAGACAAGACTTTGCACACTTGGAATGAGCACCGCTCCAATCGAACTGAAAACTCCAGTCGTTGCAGAGACCTCTGCTAACCAATGGCCTCCTCTTCTGCATACCGACTCCTATCATATTGAGCGGTCCAATTGGCCCTAGCGTGCCATCAAGACCTGCGAAAGTTTTGGAGGTTTTTTTACTCGGATCCGCCTGTACGACTTGACAGAAATCGGTGCTGAATGTGTTCAAGCAGAAAAGGGGGATACCGGGCGTGTTGCCGCCACAATGAGCCACAAGTTGCCGGTCAACTTCAAGTGAGATACCTTCTTTCTTGAAAAGATTGTTGAAGTATTGGATTGTCTCATCATCCACCTCCTCGTGAGTTGTAGCAACCTCGGGCTTGTATGGCTCATTGATCCAAATGGATGGTACAAAAGTTGCTATCGTTGTGGTGGTGGTGCTTTGTTCTCCCGAGACGCAGCCGCTGACAGGTGAACACGTTCCGAGAATTGTACTACACTTCCGTTAGGTGTGATGCCTTGGTTTAGTCGTTTATTGACCGAACACGACTCACCTTGTGTATCCTGTCCCAGTAGATATGAACGAGACAGTCTTGGTGCATCCAGGCGGTCTTGTTGTGGTACACTTTGCACTTTTGGTCGTCGATTTGCTGTTTTTATCGTGGTCATGGTCATGCTCGTGGTCATGGTCATGCTCGTGGTCATGATCATGATCGTGATCATGGTCTCCAGATTCAGGATCTGGATTTACCGCTGGAGGAGGAGGGAGTTTGAACGGTGGAAGTTTCAAGTGTGGCAACTCAATTGGTCTCCACCGCTAACCTCCAGGGTATATGATAACACGATCACCATGATCGTCTGTTGAAGTTGTTGTTTTCGTATTGGTCGTGTATTTGGGATCCCGCGTCGCTTCATAAGTTACTACAGTTCCCTTGGAACCAGTAATTATCGTCTGTATTGGGTGACTTGATGTCTTCATCCTTGTTGCCGTGGTAGGGTGTGCAACGCTAGCTGATTGACCTTGGGTGGCCGTTGTCATGCTATTTTGATGCCTGGTAGATGCCGAACTAACTCGGCTTCCTGTAGAGGACAATTTCTTCGAGCCTCTTGAAGTGACTTTACTGGTTTGATGTTTGGAACTGAGTGAACTCGCCTCATGCTCATGCTTTGTAGAGATTGGACTAGTTGTCTGCTTGGGGCGACCCTGAGTGGTACTGGTTCCAGTTGAACTCGAACTGGTAGCCTTTTCAGTCGAAGTCGAGATGGACTTTTTCCTTTCAGTAGAACCGAAAATAATTTTTGAACTCAAAGTAGTGGTGCGATCCGCAGATGTCATTGACCGTTGATTCGAATGGTGTGTAACCTCTGGCGTGTGTTTTGACTGATTAGGAGTTGGAGCTACAATAATCGTGGACTTCGTTTGCATTGCAGAGCTGCCTTTTTGTGTTGAGCGGGATGATCGACTTGAAGATGTTTTTGGTCTCTTTGACATTTTGGAAGACTGAGGCTGTTGGGAAGCCTCAGCATCAGAGGATCGCGTAGCCCCTATGCTTGTGCGGCTCAAGGGAGCGGGTTTCGTTGTAATCTTGGTCTGCGTCAGAGGGTGGGTGAATTTTGAAACCTTGGTTATGGGTTTCATAGAATTCGTCCGAATTTTGCTGCTAGCCACCCTTGTTTGACTGGAAGTCTTTTTCGAAGTTGACGTGAACATTTGGCCTGTTGAAGACTGTGGCTGGTTGAATGAAGCAGATGTCTTTGATGACATGGAGCTTTGATGAGCTGATATACTGGAATGGGACTGAGAGGTCGTTGGCGTGTGTTCGGAGTGCTTGGACTTGGTCCCCTTCGGACTGCTTTTCGAGCTACTGGATGTCGGTGTAGTCGTCAAGTGAATAGAAGACATCCTAGATCTTTCTGTAAATGTCTGGTGTCTTCCATTCGTCTCCTTGCTGCGGCTGGGAGTTGTCGATGCACTCTTACTGAGCCTTTGGGAATGCGTTGTGCTTTTGAGGGCAGTATCAGTGTGAATGGGAGTGTAAAAATGAGGCTCAGCACTATCATGGTGCTTGGAAATACTATGATATGGGGAAACGGTATGATGCTCAGGAACAGTATGATACTGGGGAACTGAATAATGATGGGAGACAACAGTCTTGTACGAAGTTTGAGGTACAATGGAACTACTTCTCTGATCACTGGAAGTGGTCAAGACCGGTACTGGGTAGACTGTAAGAATGCGTGTAGCGTGATAGGGGTTGATTGGAACGCTGCTTGTAGACCGGGTGGGTGGCTTTGCGATGGAGGAAGAGGTCGCTGGTTTGCCGCCTGCGGCATATAGAGATGGTAGTGCCAAGCAAGGAACAACGAGGAAACATAGTTTCCAAATTGAATGTGCGCCAGCATACATTTAGACAAGGTAGCTTGAGTAAAGAATAACTTGACACCAAAGACAAAAAGACATTAAAGAAACGCAGACTGGAGCTAGGAAGTAAAATCGAGAGCGAAGGTAATGATATATAGAAGGAAGCTGCGAGACGAAGCGTATATATATATATATATATATATATATTTCTCATGGGTTTAGCAAGTATCTATCAACATGCTCGATCAATTTCCGTTAAACAGGAGAACATCCTGCCAGATCAGTTGGGCGCTTCTGCTCACTGCCTACGGCTGAGATCACTAGCTGTTATCTGTTATCTGTTTGCTGTTTTATTATTATAGTCACTTGATCTGATATTGAAATTATTGATGAAAATTATATCCCTACATTCGCAGCATTAGACGGCGTGTCCGAGCTGCCAAATCTGCAGGTGTCCTCACTGGTTTCAGGTCATGGCTCCAGCTCTGAGAGCCTTGTTCCATTCCGTTGATTGAGACGATTAATTCTTAGATATTTATTGTTTGGTCTCTATTTTTATAATGTTTGTTCTCAAAACTGGAGCCTAAAGCTATGTCCACAAATTCGCGGCAATCGACGGCGCCCCCGAGCCTCAAATCTTGGTCCACCTTCACCAACCTCGGATCACATTTATGTCCATTCCTGCGGGTTTTCGCGGCAGTCTACGGCCTCTCCGAATCTTCACATATGCAACTGCCCTCACCGACTTGACATTATGGCCCCGGCGCCGCAAGCTCGTATAAGGGTGCAAGTTTCAGGTGGTAGGTTGCCGCGCGTGTCATTCTTCATGATCACGGCTCGATACAGACGAGAAGTACGCACGGTGATCTAGATGGAATAACCGCATGCCGAAAAGATGAATTAGGTATAGTTAGCAAACATGAATATGGCAATCAAGCAAGGCAGCAACCCTGCGAGTATCCTTCCTATGTATGAGCAAAACTGATCATACGGATCAGCGCCGTCGCCGTGGTCTATCTAGCAACCTACCAGCAATCAAACTTCCACATCTGACAGGGCCAAAGCTCTGAAGCGGCATCATGGTTAAGTTTGTTTCATTGAGAGAGTGGTATATGCCGTCTTATCTGGTTGTTTCTGTGAATTATCAACTATAGTAAAAGATACCTGTATATATACCATCATCACCCGGCTGGCTGCCACAGCTTGACTACATAACTCCCTCAAATCAGCCGATATACTCACACGAATCTGCACCAATTTGACCATTCAATCTTTACTAATACTCTTTACTTCGTTGCAATGCTCATTGCATTTGCCTTAGGGCTTTTCCTGAGCCTTGGCCATGTCACTGGCTTGAAGGTGAGGGAGGTGAATCTCAAAATCTGGGATGTAGACGACTCGTGTAAGCCATATCTGTCACTTCTACAAAAAGCTTTCGATGATGCCGCGACTATGTCAGCCAAAGCTTTAAAAGACCTCAAATTTGTTCAACAACCCCGCCCGCAACAAGACACCAAGCGAAGGGAAAGTCTTGAATGGGATCGCATAGCAAGGGCCGTGAACAACATATTTGGTTTCAATCCAGATGAACAAGGAACCAATTCGGAAAACAAGTTTATGCAAAAGGTTCTTGGTAAGCCAATAACCATCTTCCACCTCTTCATTTTGAACTTTTGTGTACAGCATTCATGCTGGGCATCCACTTAGCTGACCCTTGCTACTAGGGGTTTACGATAGGATGAGCGCAGCCCTGCGTGGCAATGAGAACATACCTGCAAAGGGTTTCACAGAACTCCACTCCAAAGCACTGTTGATTTGTGGCGATGAGCCCTGGAAATGGTATTCGGTAAACGACATTGATCCATACGATCCAGAGAGGCAACCACTGCATATTTCCCAGCCTGGAGTAGAGGGCAAGGGAGCCTGGGCATATAAACACAGATATCATTCAAACGGAAACCCTAACAGTATTGGTATCTGCCGTCCTGAAATATATGCAGTCACACAACCTCAGTACGATATGATTACTTTTTGCGGTCTCTCTTTCGCGGATAGCACAACGGAAGTAGTTTCACCAGTCGATAAAAGGCCCAACGTGGAGGTGGGAGTGACCGGAATTGGATGATTTTGCGGAAAGTCTCTCTCGCGTCATGATTCACGAACTCACTCATTGGTATGGTGCGGAATTAGATAAGGAAGGCGCCATTATCCGACGTAAGAAGTCTACAGACATTGACAATCCTGCTGCCCCAAAGTGTCACTGGCTAACGTTTTCATTCTTCTATCTAGTTGTCGACCATCGAGCAGTTTCGAAATACGGCGAATTGCCTTTCTCGTACTTTGATCAAAGTCGTAACAAAGTTAGATACGTTCCGAGTAGTAAGAGAAAAGACGGAGTCCGGTACGGAGAGCCGGTAGTTTGTATGTTTTCGAATTCCCCCAGCGCTTTCCTCATCACACATCTCTTTGGGTATAACATGAGCTCACGTACCTAACTTTGGAAACCAGACTATTACGCTTTCGTCACAAGACTAGCTATGAGTCACGAAGGCCAGTTTGCCCAAAATTCTGGACCAGACAAGGCTACTGGCACAGCAGAGGCATACGCCTATTTTGCTATGATGGCGTAGGTTCTTTTCCATCCAGAGGCATCTCTTACTGAGAGTGCTGACACGATTTTCTTATTCTAGTTATCTGGATAATTTTGATTGGTCTTTGGATGGGAAAGCCAAGAGGCTGGGGTAGAGCTACCTATGTCGTGGCATGTAGGTGGTACCAGCTGGCATCAATGAACCAAACTAGGGTGCCCAGCAGGAAATCAGCCATACGTACCTGCTTTACCTTTGCAGGGCGTCTACTGAAGAAAGATGCTATTAATTATCCTTCCTTATTTACCTCTTTGTCTACTTTGTCTACTTTGTCTACTTTGTCTCTTTTCAGGTAGTCTACTTTCAGGTAGTCTACTTTCAGGTTGTCTACTTTGTCTACTGTGTTAGTAATATTGGATTATTCTTAGAGGATGCTCTGTACCTTTTTTTTTCAACCAAAAGATTGCAAAAAAGTAAAAATTTGCAGTGACACTTCAATTTTACGGAATCCATTCGAGGCGGTTGTAACATTTTCTCGGTAAATAATAACTCATCTAGTTGAACCGGCTTGAACCTAATGCCATCCATCGATTTCTCTCACATGAACCACCATCCGTAGCAGCACCAATGAGCAGATTAGCCTGCAACTACCAGCTTTCCCTCCTTATTGCGGACAGCCTCTGCCTTATGATAAGTCCATGATGATACGGTGGCACCCACACTCTCCAGTCGTTCGATGACAGATTTTTGCCAGTAATCGCTTGGGAAAAGCTCCTCTCGTGTCTCAGGAGGCAGCGTGTGATCGGGTATGGTAGGGTCTTTGTATTCACGGCGCTCCTCCAGGCCCCTCCAGGCTACATTGAGTAGGAAGCTGGCTGCATCGGCACGTTGCTCACAATCTTCACCCACGCGGGCGAAACGCGCATGCATCAAAAGCCAATCGAAGTAATAGGTTTCCTGGGCTACTGCAAACCACCGATTGGAATTATAAACATCGATCTCCGTATTGATTCTCTTCGCGGCCTTCTCGGTTGCATGAGCTGGTCCGCGAATGATCATAAACTCTGATATGCACTCAAAACTATTTTCATTTGTGTCCCATGACCGAGGGCTACAGCCCCACGACATACGATAGAGGTTACACATAAGGTGAGGCTTCTTGACGACAAAATCGTCAAGGGGAGAGAAAATGCGATCGAGGTTTCCCGAGAGAAAAGAGGCTGGTGGTTTAGCAGCGTTTTCCCAGGAAATAAACAAGACGATATCAAGTTCGTCATCGACTGATTCTCCTTTGGAAATATAAGCGAAATTAGGCTGGTGTCTGATCGTGTCCATGACTTGGTACCATTGTTCGGAGACGCCTATTTTGTCGCGGTGATCAGCCAGAAAAGCGAGGCGCACAACGCTGGTGGAATACTCTCTCTTTCCGTTATTGGGGTCTGTCGTAGCCATGATTGCGGTGTTGATCTTTTCGTCAATATGGCTGTAACGGGAGTCGATTGGTTAACAAAATGGACAAAGGAGAAAACAATTATTCGAGAGGGCGAGAGGCACAAGCACGGGCAATTCCGACCTCATATATGTTATGGAAATGTCAATGCTCAATAAACATAAATTCACTGGATGTAGCACCTGGCCCGTGTAAGTGACACTGACGACCCCGCTATGGGCTGAATTTTGCTTCGAAACTCGAGATTCAATGAAATGCTTGCGCCAACACTTTGACAGAAGTATGGGCCTATGCTCATTCATGGTGGTAGAATAAAGGCACAATTACTAGAGCCTATCCTTGCAAGATTCAGTTCTAAAAATCGCTATTGGATGCTCTTTCCGGCGCCCCTCTGTGGCTTTTCTGTCTTTATTTGCCACTCGGGTGCTAACAGCAGCCAATGTGACACATCCAACAGGTCGGTGAAGCTTTGGCCAATTTGCATACGAGTATATGCATAGCAGCATGGTGATTTTGGTGGATTCAAATAGAGGTTAAGTAGAAGCCGTATATATCCAGTCACTTACCCCTCTTGTCCTACCTATCTGCTAAAGTGTGTTACCTCGAGATAAGTATGGTGATAATGCTTTCGGCCATCAGGAGGTTACAGATTGATCCTTTGAGACGCTGGCAAGGAATTCCTATGTGTTTCATATTCACGCTGCAAAACGACACGGCCAATGGAAAAGTGGATAAAACGATGTCCAACTCTGTCACTAGCCGTCTGAAGCTGAATATCAGAGTGCCCCGTGCGTGATAGAGCCCGTTAGGCAACAGGCAGCAGCAGCATGTGTCTACCTTTTGTTGACGGAGTAGAGTCCGAGCTTCTTGCCACTGAAAAGCTAGTGAAGAGCAATCTACTCTTGATTCGGGTGGCATTTTCGTTGGAGTATGCGCAGGACTTTGGTGCTGTAACGTCTGCGAATAATCATGAGGATTAGGGCATCAAGGATGTATGGCGTAGCTAAAGCTGTTGGATTCGGCCGATGGGCAGCGTTGAAGTATTCATGGATGTGAACGAGGTTGGAGCATTCATGAGTTTCAGAAAAAGGGTCGAGCCATACCAGTGCAATGTACTTCAACAGTAATTAGCTTTTCTACACAAGCATAGAGATGAAAGGCGAATCTCCTCCGCCGAGGCGAGGCTTCGTGATTGGCCCTACAGATCTTGTGTCTTGTTGCCTTTTTGTCTTCTGCTGCTTCAAACTCAACTTCGTGACATTTTCCCTGTAAATGACACTGATCTAGGCAATGCCATGTATTATGAGCAGTGACATCGGTATCGGTGATGCGAATTTCATGCGGTCTACAAATGCTGTTATGAAACGGGGGAACTTGCAGAACGATACCCCGCTTGTGGATTCAAAGATGCAAAATAATAGAGCCTCAATGCATGTACAGGCGACAGCAATCACGTCTAGGGTCGAGATAAGACACATGTATGCAACTGGCGCCCAAATAAAGTCTGAGGCGACTCGGCCGAGTTGGGTGAGATTCATGTGGCCTTTCCGAGCCGCTGAATCTACAGAGGTGGTGGAGGGATACAGCATAACAGCAAAAGCTAGGTAACGATGAGACGAATTCGATAAGAATGTATTCGATGGAAAAAGAAGTATTGTCCTTGTTCTTTACTGAAAACCCGTCGCTTGCCGAAGATGGTTCCCAAGAATTCATGCTGATTACGTACATGATCAATAGTTGATGATTGAACCTTTTAAAGAGTAGCAATTAGGACATTTATGCGGAGTAAAGCCTACTCATACTCGCTCATGCTCACTCAGATGTAGTCACTTCCACACCCGGTACAGAACAAGTTGTGAAACATGTGCGGAGGAGCGGCATCTGCTACTTGAAGCAAAACGACGTCCGTTGGTGTCTACATCGCAAACTCGTTTTTGCGACCTTCTTCTTCTTACCACTATTGCTCTAGCATGCGGTGATACGTCCGAGGGTACATGTAGGTAGCTTGACGAATATGCACTGCATTTTCCTATTCAAGCTTACACCGTATAACCTGGGCCAAATTCCGATTCACGGCAAATAGAGGCCCGACAGCTGTTTGTCTTTCATCATTCAAGGGGCAACACTAACGATTATCTGATCAATATCGCAGTGTATCCCAGCTTATCTCATCTGCGCCATTAATGAGGCCATGGGTTTAGTTTATCCGCCGTCGCTTAAAACCCCCACACTCACGTTGTCTTGGTTGGATGATCGCCCGAACCAAACCAACTTCTTCTAGAAATCATGGGACCCAATGAGGAAACGCGCGGATAATGTCTGTGGAGAGAAATGAAGGCATGCAAGTTTACTGCTATCAGTTGTATACTCGTAGAAGTAAGTGCAAGTAGAGCGACCGCTGGGCGGGACTTTGCGGGGTCTAGTCCAGGTTCGTGAGAGACGAAGTTCATCAGTGAGATCGATCTTGGTCGAGGTGCCTTTTGTAGACTTTTGCCTGGTTGCTGTTTTTGGCCATGAGTTGCTGCTAAGTAATGGCGATGTAAACGTCCACAAGGAAGCAACAACTTGGCCAGAGCTTCTCGGAAACAACAGCAAAAGCAAGACGAGGAAACGAGGTCGCTGTTTCAAGTATTACGGGGGGATAATACCGGTTCTTATATCCGTAATGGGTCAGTTTTCCGGCCGAGACAACTCGTTATCAGGAATCTGATAGATCCCACATGGCCTCGCACCTCACGCAACGATGCTATCACGCAAGCGCACCCACTCGCCTCCCCTCCATTCCAGGGGGCCTTCTTCAAGATGCCAAAAGGGTAAGATGAACAAGGGCAAAAGCTGGGGTGCTGCTGTCGTGCTGCTGCCGTGCGTCAGGCCGACAAATCAGCGCCTGTCGCAACCATGAATCCCGATTGCGCCAATGCTGCCAATGCTGGTACGGTGCCGAATTGCCGGACTGTTGTGGTCGGAGTTCTTGACCGCGCGGTATCTAGCAGGCCTCTGTTAGGATAATGTTCGTAAAGATATAGCCCGAGTTGGAGCAAGCTTGGAATCGCCGGCGTATCATTGGCTGGTGTATCCGAAGGGATGTTCAACGTCCAAGGACAACCGAGATAGTCGAACTGGGCCGTGATAAGAGAAAGAGAGAGGGTTGGAGACATGCTGATGGTCGGTTCCAGCCCTCATTCTTCTCCCTCCCTTCTTCGTCATCCATGATAATGATTTGACCTCTATCTGAGATGCGGCGTTGTAGTTGCTTTGACGCTTTCGGAGTATTGCATATGTTTATTTTAGAGTTGTAAAACCTGCGACGCATCGCCATGTAGAAGGAGAGGGAGGAGGGTGATGCTATTCTACTCCCCCACGTAGAAGCAGGGAAATGCAATAATCCATAACATGGCCATCTCTTCGCCAACGCACGCAATCGGCTTAATTCACCCCATCATATCGAGAAGCAATCGCAGCAATAGACTATTTGGGAACTTTTGTCTCAAGTAGGAGTAGCCCGGGCGTTCATCCCCAAGCTGACTCGTCCGCCAAGTGATTTGATCGCCTCGGGCTTTCGTAAAGAAGGACGTGATAGGGAATAGCTCCCTGGGATGCAAGTATGGTGTTACACCCTGGCGAGTTTGCGCTTTTATTGCGGGCGGGGCTGGGGTGCAAAGCGTGCATGTGTTTGTATGTTGTGAGGGTTGTGTAGTATGTTCATACCATACGCTCTGTGATAGATAAGTATGGCAGGGCTGCCATGCTTGTTGCTCTCCGGCTGTATCGTGGCGAGGAGAAAGACACCTTCAACATAGCTTGCTCCAGCTGATATCAAGTAACTCTCCAAGAATTGTTTGGATAGTCCATCCTCGATGAGTATGTGTTACCTTCCAGGCACAAGTCGCAATATAGACACCGCTCACCAGACAACCTGAATACAGACGCAGACCACATCGCTGACGGTCCCACGCATGAGCGTGGCACCGCAGAGATCCTCTCCGGCGCGGCCCCAATCGAGAGCGAGGAGCTCGGGGTCACTTTCGATAGACTCCACGACGACATCGAAAAGGTCTCCCTAGAAAGCCCCGATGGTAGAGAGCCGACAGAGGAGGAGAAGATTACTCTCCGCAAGGTCGCCGGTTCCATTCCTGCCATCTCTTGGGTGCTCTGTGTAGCCGAACTTGCTGAGCGTGCGAGTTACTATGGCGCCAGTCAGGTATTCAACGATTATATGCAGTTTCCTCTCCCCGAGGGCGGCAATGGTAGCGGAGCTGTTCCGAAGAGCGATCCCAACGGCCATGCTGGCGCATTGTAAGTGACAGAAGCGATGGCCACTCAAGAGAATCCCTCGAGTAACGATTGTCTTCTTTCACTTAGGAACCAAGGTCTTCAGTTTGCCTCGGCCTTTAGCACTTTGTTCACGTTCTTGGCCTATGTCTTTCCCATCCTTGGTGCTTACATCGCAGACACGCGTCTCGGAAGATTGTAAGTGTGATTGATGTGTGAAACCCAATCGCAGGTGAAGAGTGCTGACGAAACTCTCTCTTATAAGCAAGACGATTCTCGTCGGCGTCACCATTGGTGCTGTTGCCCACGTCATCATGATTGGCGGTGCTGCTCCATCCCTTCTCAAAGCCGGCAAGGGTCTCGCGCCATTCATCGTCTCGTTCTTCACTCTGGCCATCGGTGCTGGTATCTTCAAGCCCAATGTGGCACCGACTGTCATCGATCAGTACACCAACCAGCGGCAAGTGATCAAGGTGCTCAAGACGGGAGAAAAGGTCATCATCGATCCCGAGCGCACGATTCAACGGGTGATGCTCATCTTCTATGCCATGATCAACGTCGGCGCCTTCTTCGCCATTGCAACCACGTACACTGAGAAATATGTCGGCTTCTGGTTGTCCTTCCTCTTGCCAGGCATCGTGTACTTCCTGCTCCCCTTCCTTCTGTTAGCAGTGTACAAGAGACTCGTCGTCAAGAAGCCAAATGGATCTGAGCTGACCAATTTCTTCAAGATTGTTTGGGCTGGTCTCAGGTATAACAAATTCCAGGTTTGGAAGAAGGACTTTTGGACTGTTGCTTCCCCCTCCAAGCTGGCAGAGCGCGGCATCCAGGTAACGTGGACTGACCGATCTGTGCTGGATGTGCAGCGCACATTTGAGGCCTGTGTCATCTTCCTATACTTCCCCATCTACAACATCAATGATGGAGGTGTTGGTGCTGTGCAGTCGAACCAGGGTGCGTCCATGACGAACAACGGAGCGCCGACAGATCTTCTCGGTAACTTCAACCCTCTCGTCATCATCGCCCTTGCGCCGGTTCTGTCGTACGGTCTGTATCCGCTCTTGGCCAAGTATGGCATCAAGTTCGGCCCCATCCGCCGTATGACATTCGGCTTCATGCTTGCAGCAATCTCCGGTGCCATTGGTGCCATTGTTCAGTGGAGAGTGTATGAGACGAGCCCCTGTGGCTACCAGGCCAGCACTTGTGACGACGTGTCGCCCATCAACATCTGGTGGCAGATTCCCAACGTCGCCCTTGGTGCTATTTCCGAGCTCTTTTGCAACGTAACTGCGTATGAGATGGCATATGCGCGCTCTCCGCCTCATCTCAAGTCCGTCGTCATGTCTCTCTTCTTGTTCACTACCGCTTTGTCGAGTGCACTTGGCGAGATCCTAATCCCCGCCATTGTCGACCCGCATTTGATTGTAAGTTGATTCGAAATTATGTCAAGTCTGACAACAAGAAACGGATGGCTAACTGTCTTTGTCATTATAGTGGGTTTGGGCTGGTCCAGCAATTGCACTCTTCGTCCAGACGATTGTCTTCTGGCTTAGACACCATAAGCTTGATGATGATATTTATATGCTGGAACAGGAGACGCCTACCCAGTCCCAGGCCCAGCTCACACAAACGCGTGAGTCGGAGCTGGAGCAAGAAACGGTAGTTAGGGATGTTGAGAAGGCATAATAAGCTGGGCTTACAACAGGCGGTACTCAAGTGGTGGAAAGCCCTATCACTAATACGGCTGTCGTGTCTTGAAAATGGCAGCGCTTTTGTCTTCTAAGTGCTGAACACGCGTATTGGTCAAGAGGAAGGGGAAGATGCGAATAGCAGAGTAAGTCAAGGTGCTAGCGGTAGCCGGGAGAGAAGTAGGAAATATACGATACCCATTTAATTGAGCCGACCACGGAGCCGACGCTCTCTTTTTGTATAAACTACGACTCCGAAGCCGTCTCGGCGTCGGGTTCGGCCTCGGTCTAGAGAGGAATAGCTCGAAATGCGCCGCCGGGGATTGTCTGCTGTCCATGAGGCTCATTGATCCTGAAGGATCTGACGTTTAAGCCATAAAGGGTAGAATTGCACACCGGTCGGCGCACCTGAGCCGTCTACCGGGACACATTTGTGGGAGGGATGTCTAATGTTGGGTGTTTGCGTGAGTGAGTCATCGTTGGCGTTTGTCCATGATATAGTTCAGTTTTGACTGATCATCTGTAACATTCCTGATGGTGATACACCAACAAAAAAAACCGACGCGATGACTAGCGAATGCGCATCATTATTATTCTAATGACTTTGAGCAAAGTAGCCAGAAGGAGAACCTCGCGCGTAAACTATCTCCGTATAAAATACGTACGGAGCCTTTACGCAGCCAGATGATCCTTCTAGGCAAGCTACTTACTATACCTCTCTCTGCAATGTTCTCTCTTCCAATTGGTTTGATTAAATACGCATAGATTTCGCTAGCTGGAAGCCTAGTGTCTCTCTGCCTGAGGCCTGTAAGCGGTGTATAAGAGCTTCCCGTGTCCGAAAACGTGTTGTCGCCGAGCTCTGTGGGTAGACGGAGCATGAGATCCATTTCAGCTTTAGACCTACATGCATACTTGCCCATGATATAGTTTTTTTTTTTTTTCGTGCTAACTTGCAGCCGAAATATTAAATGGTTTTCCTTCAAGATTGAATTTCGGAATGACGGCCTCTCTGACAATACACATGTGATCATATTTGAGAGCGATAACATAGTGATGAAGGAGTTGATGAAAGAGAAAGCACTAGAAGCACCGTTTGGCTATCCTCCGCGCACAGCATTATCACGCCTCAAATAAGAGCTACAAGTCTTGCACTCGTTCCTTGGAAGCAACTGTATATATATCGCAGATCGGCTCAATGACAAAGTATCAAGTCCATACCCCTCAGTCTATCAACTGATGAGACCAAACTTAGAGAAACAGAAGAGTGTTGCGAATTCACCTTGTATGTTGTGCTATTTCACCTAGAGCTATATAGACTCCCAATGTGCAAGGAATCAGCATATACTCCCTGTTGTGAATTCCAACCGATCGATGCCTGATGCCTACTCAAATCACGACAGGATTTATAGATCATGTCGTATTTTCCTTGTTTCTGTCATAATATACAACATTGGTTGCCTATTGCACTGTTTTTCTTTGAGGTTGAGTCGCACCTTTTTCCTCAATACACCTCCCAAAGGCGGCGTTATTCTTGAATGTGCCTTTCAATCTCTCCTGAAATTTTTTGCTATCTATATCCAGGCAGAAACATTCTAAAATGGCGTCTTTATTGCCAAATCTTCCAGATTAACCCAAAAATTCTCTCATTGTCGAAACTAATAATCAGGCACCGATATTTACACCAACCATAAAAGCGCCTTGAGCCAACCACCGCAACTTCACCAACTCTCAAACATTTCTAAATAAAACAATCCCAAACAATAAAAACATATTCTTTAATTCACCATCTACCCACAATGTCTTCGCGCGCCACCTTCGCCGATAAACCAGAAACATACCAAGCCACCCTCAAAAGCCTCTTCCACGGCAACCCCGAGGACACCAAAGCAGACCTCTCGAAAATCTTTACTCCCGAGTTCCAATTCGATGCGGGTGATGAGAAATACGACTTTGACGGCTTTGTAGCGCACATGCGTCGCTTGCGCGAAATGAAGCTGGACGTCGATCTCACAACTGTACAATTCTTGCGTGATGGGAACCAACTTGCGGAGCGCCATACGTCGGTGACGACGCTGCAGGATGGCAAGCAGATGCGAGCCGAGACGTTCATGTTTGCGGAGATTGCAGAAGATGGAAGAGTTAATTGGATTATTGAAGCTGTTCAGTGAAAAGGTTAAATCAGCGTCGAGGTAGAGAGTTGCGTTAATAGAGAGTGTGGATATTATTACTTCGTACGCATAGCTCATAATTACATGAAAATATTAAGTCGGACCACAGCAGTGGTAGCCTACATTAGATATTCAGCTGGAATCCATCCATAGAAACGCTAACCATTGCATCAAACTGAGCCCAGCCTGTCATCTCTGCGAGAGAATCGGTAGGAGTCACGTAGATATCGCCAATAGCCCCCATGTCCGTCATATTCGCCCCTAACTCTGTAACCATTGTCCCATCGTCAGTTGTTCCATAAGTGTCTGCTCCATTGCCGGTGTTTGTCATTGCAGTGGTCTGTCTTTGTGTTGGCGAGCGCGCATTATTAAGCTGGCCTTGTTTAGTCTGTCTCAGCGCTTCGAGGCGTAGCTCTTCCAGGACCAGGCAGTATCGTGCGATCAAAGACCCATCTTCCGTGAGATTGGACAATTGATCTTGACAACGAGTTGCGGCTGTAAGATAACCAGAATATGATTCTTCAGGTTCGTTGCTCTTCTGGATAGTGTAAACATAGAGAATAACCGCAGCAGAGAAGGCGAAATACGACGTGAACTATGAGATTTCAGTTAAGCAGTCCCTAGTTATGACGCATGAGACACCACGACTTACCCAGTATGCTCGGAAAAGCTGACCTCCTTGGTACATGTCATTAACTGTTTTAGTAATGTTCATAGCCGCTTGCAGGCATTCATGAACGCTTTGGTCTATACGCGTTTCAAATTCATGGTCATCACGTCGCGGCCGGCTGCCATTCTGCAGCTGTGCAAAGTTGCGGAGCAGAAACGGCCGGTGAGTGAGGATCATGGTGTGCCAATAGGCCAGATTCAGGACGTTCTTCTGGCGCTGAAAGATGGGTATCAGTGGCATGTTCGTCACCGGGTCCAGAAAATGAGCGACGTCTGCTCGCCACTCGACGAGTTCCTTTGTATGAATGGTTGCAAAGGCGTGCTTGTCGTTTCGCGAGGTTGTGTGGATAGAATAGACGTTGCGAAGAATCATGCTTAATATCCGCGACATCCTGCCATACTAATTAGCTTTCATAAGAGCAAATGGGAGAGATGTTTACTTACTTGGCATATGCAACTGGCCCTAGCATCACCGATTGTCCATGGGTGCTGCCCTGTCTGATGTGATCGGCATAAATCTGGTGATCATCTACGCACGATGGTAGCTCCTGGTCTATATCATCATCATGAAACGTCCGTGGTCTTCCGAGAGCCATGCTAAGATAGTTATCCAAAGCATACGCGCTCCAGAATGTCCTTCGCCGACATTCTACTTCGATCCGGTCGATTCGATCAGCATGGCGCTTTCTGTGTAAGCCAATGGCATAGGCAAGGCGCGCAGCAGTTCCAAAGAGATTCCAGCAATGGTTTATCCGTGATTCAGACAGGAGCCAGAGGCACTGCAGCAGTCGGGCTTGGATGCTCGCCAGGCGGATAGCTCCCTGTTCTCTTGACAGCAGCTGGTGTGCCGCAAGGAAATACCGAACGCTAGGGACAGGTTAGAAATCTATTCGACGTAGGGTCACAAAGAGGACAATACCTAAGGTCGGCATCATCAGATGTTGGCCTCGGGCTCATGTGCGCCTGGGCAAGAGCAAACACCATGAACAAGACTGCCGTCCGGGTGGATGCATCCTCGCTATTGTGCATCTTCCCCTTGGTCTCATATAGCTCATCAAGCCATGTCTCTATGGTCTGCTGGTGGAGGAACCTATCCACAGGAACGGCAAAGTCAAAGTACCTCTGGACGAGACGCGTGGTATCACTCCTAGACAGCATCATATACAGGGTTGGGTCAAAGTACGGCGCCTCCGTCTGCAGCGAGTCAAGATAGGGCAAGGGAGCATCGCCAAAGGTAAAGATGGAGGATCCTTGCGGAAACGACACGTTCTGGTCTAGCCGCTTTTGAATCCTGAGCAGGAACGAGACTCCGGAGGATGGCCCGACATAGTGGCCCTCGAGATCGGTCTGCACAGGTTCCGGAGAGGCCCGTGATAACGGCTCTGTGCCGGGCTGTGTGGGGTCTCCGAGGGCAGAGTAAGAGTCCGGAGGGTCGCCGTTGGACTGCTGCCGGCTCACTCCGGGGCTCTGGCGGTTGGCGGCGTGCCATCGCGATGACTCGGACTGTTGGCGCTCATGGTGTTGCTGCTCGCTCGGCGGCTGCGGCGGCGGAGAGGCGCGGTTGCTCCGGCGAGAGGCCATCGCGCCGTGTCTGCCGCGAGTGTAGGCGGCATCGTATGTACAGCTTGCATTGGCCTCGATGCATAGCCGACACGGCTGCAGTCCCGTACAGCGAATCTTTCTCCTGTGCTGATATCAGTGGTGGATGCTCTGAGGCTGAGACATGTTCAAGGGGCTGCTCTCGGGATGGCGTCTCACTCACTTCTTGCACCTGTCGCAGGCACGCGTCACCCGCATCCGCTTCGAGTCTCTGTGGTCTCTACCCGCCTGCCGCGGAGGCGTCGACGGGTGTGCGCCGTCGTGATCGGCAACGGATATCATGTACCCGTCCATGTTAAGCGTTGATATCCGAACAGGACTGACTTCCGGGACACGGACGGAGAAGGACGGCTATGCATTGGGCAATGCTATGCTGCCGGGAAATTGGACGGGCCGGCGGTGTTTTGAAAGAGCTGCTTCAGTAAACACATATAGTAATCAAGTTCGCAAAACCTCGTGTGATGTGGGCGGTTCCAGCATCTGCCTATTGGCATACAATCCATGTATTTAGCCACTGGCACACACGAGGGAACAAGGACAAACAACGCGGCTGATTGGGTTTGCTATACTAGCGTGCTGCTAGCTGTCTTCATCATTCCACCAACTACATAAACTTGCAGTTTGTTCCTGGCCACTTCGCGCCAACCAAACAAGACATGGATGGGCAAGTCTGCTGTTCCTCACCTCTCAGATTGCGAGAGACCATTATGTAAAACCTTGCATATGCCGGCGGCAAAAGTTCCCCGCGCTTGGACAGGGTTACTCCAGACTCGGTTCCAAAGAAGATGGAAACGGGTGGAACTGTGGCTCTCGGCGGCTCAATACGAATACAGTAGGGCTGTTCTCCGCGTCGCCGGATATTAAGGTGGATAAGAGGCGCCGTTTCTAAATGCTAGGAAAGGCGAAAACTTCAACTCCAGTAAATCGCAATTGAAGATATTTATCTTAGGAGTTGCCAATGTGCGACGAGTATTAATGACACTACTATCCTGCGGTGAGTAATGCAGGGTTGTGAGACGCGGTGGACACCAAGACATCCGCTTACGGAGCATGGGTTCTAAGACGGTTGAGAACCTAGTACTCTGTACGAAGTAGGACTTTTTCTCAGGCTATATGGAAGAGCTAAAAGGGAGATTTCGTAAGTACTGTTCTTCAATTCGGATGTTTAATTACATCTTCATGCTTGCAGTTCCCTTGCGCTTTCTGGCTTGCAACTTAGTTTAAGCGGACGTACAACTCGCAAATAGGATTATGTCTGACAGCCTCCATACCCGGTGCTTATTTGCATGTGAAGTTACGCTAACGTATAAAATAACTCAATTAAAGTCATGGAAACATGCATCGTAACATCTTTGATTAAATCTGAACAACTAGAGTAAATAAGTTGCCGTAACTAAGAAACCCCACACTCCATCGCCATTCTCGACGAGAAGTTGCATCATAAGCGGTAAAACATCACACCGAAACATTCCCAAGCACTAAATGCATATAGTTTCGCTAGCAAGGAATAGTCCAATGACTCGCCGTACAGTCGATATCAGCATCCATGTTATCATGATCCCTTCTCCGCTTAGAGGCGCATCTCCCCTTACATGGCTGACAGCGCGCTACCCAAAACCCTACTCCCTCTAAGCAAAAAGAGACGTTTATGCCAAGGTGTCGTCGTTGAAGGCATCAATCTTGTAGTTGGCAAACTTGCGAGCAGGGACCCTTCTAGCAAAGAGGACATCAAGCTCCTCATAAGTGCGGCCCTTGGATTCGGGGAGACGGAAATAAGCCCAGACAGTCATCAAGAAGCAAGTGCCACCCCAGACGAAGCCGGTGTATCCCTTGAGGTTCCATTCGGAGGGGTTCATGAAGTAAGGCTGGAGAACACCAGAAACGACACCAGTGATGGCATATGAGTTTCGGGCAAGGCAGATAGTCTTCTGGCGCAGACGAGTGGATCCGAGTTCGGCAGGGAGAGCCCATCCAAGTTGGCCGACAGAAAGCTGGAAGATGAGAGTCCAGACAAGGGTGAGAACGGCCTGAGCCATGGCGAAAGAGTGCTCGCTGGTGCGGGCGTTCAAGCCGCCGATGAGGACGAGAATGGCGCACATGCCTCCCATTCCGACCCAATAGGTGGTTCGGTAGCCGAAGTTGGGCATGATGAAGAACCAGCAGACAAGCGTACCGAAGAGAGCCATTCCAGTACCGCCAACGTTAAGGTGGTAGGTCTGCGTAGGGGTCAAGCCGATTTGCTGGAAGAAGTAGGTCGAGTTGTAAGCAAAGGAAATACCGCAAAGAACCTGGCCAACCATGCACATGCACGAGATTTCGGTTCGGCGCAGCTCGAAGCCCTTGAAACAGTCCCAGTACGAAGTTCCAACCTCAAGTTGCTCCTCGAGGTTGTTAGTGTAGATGATGAGGTTGAGAGATTCTTGAAGTTCCTCTTCAGTGGGGTTAGTACGCAGAGCCCGGAGAGATTGCTTGGCTTCCTCAATCTTTCCAACTCGGACAAGGTGCCACGGAGTCTCAGGGGCGAAGTAGAGGATAGGGCCCAAGACAACAGGCCAGAACCACTGAAGGGCAAAGGGGATTCTGTACGACCACTGAGTAGTGTTGTTGACCAATCCAGCCAGAACTCCAGACGCAATCAGCTGTCCAATGATGAAGCACATGTTCGTCCAGCTGGTAAGGTATGTTCGCAGTGCCATGGGCAAAACCTCAGACGCGTAGGCAGGGGCGGTCGTGGCGAAGATTCCCCAGGGGAAACCGCAAAGCAGCTCACCCACTAGAAGCACAGTAGTATTGGGGGCGAAGAAGACGATAAAGACGAAGCAGCTGAGGAAGAAGAGGGCGCCCGAGATGACACGCAGATGGCCAAACTTGTGGACGAGGTAACCATTGAGAAGGGTTCCGAAGAAGGAGCCAACACCAGAGGCGTTGCTCAGGCCGGCTTGCCATGGCGCCGTCAACTGGTAGTTGCCAGAGACTTCGTTGAATTTTCCGTATCGCTTCGCAAACTCGGGATACGCGTAGAAGTTACCGAGCAAGCTTGTGTCGTAACCCTCCATGATAACACAGGCCGAGATGAGGAGACACCAGAAGATAGCCTTTGGGTATTTTCGAACAGCTTGCATCGGCGTCAGCTCGTGCTCATGCTCGGCGGCGTTCTTCGCGTTATCCGCGATCTCGTTGATCCCAGCCTTTTCCCCCGCCTCAATGGGGAGGCTCTCCTCGTGGAGAGTGGACACGGCGCCCTTTTCCATGTTGAAGATCGACAGGAGCAGTGGAGTTGTGGTGTTGCAATGCAGTTAAGAAAGCACCAGAGGAGACGAATTGACAATTGTGAGAAGCGCCAAGATGATGTGGATTGTCTTCTTGGTAGTGTATTTGGCTCGCTCACCTCACCTCTTGATGATCGACTCACACCGGCTTTGGGGATGTCCAGGTTGGTGGTCTTTATAGATTGTCTCACCTGCATGAACAACCACCATCAACGGCCTTTCCAAGTTTTTCTTCTCCAAGGGTTTGACCCTGCTCAAACCCCCTTGCTAAACCAACAAGGCGGCATGGTGAGATCTAGACTCCCCATACCCCACAATCGGCTAACCCCCACAACAAGCAACTCTTTTGACGGATCGCTGATCCGTTTCCCAAACGCCTCTTCAACAAAAGTCGTTCTGCCAACCCCGAACATTTCTCCTGCTTGTGACGCGGGGTAATGCCGGCTTTCGGCCAACCTGAATGCTGGAATGGCTACAGGGGTAGAGCCACGAGGGCTGGGGTTTGTGGCTTCAGCTTTGCCGCTAAAGACTCGACTATGGAGCGCCGCTTTATTGGCGCCGAACGCTGGTCACTGGCTGTTGCTCGTTGGATTTGGCAGGCGAGAGAGCATCTCCGACCCGTGGCAGCGGTTTCTTGGCCTGGACGGATATCTTGTGCCCGGCAACACTTGGGCATATCCGAGTGGCGGGCGTTCAAATAGCCTCATTGGATCTCCAGTTTACCGTTAGAATTTCACCTTGAGAACTCCGTAGCGGACTATTGTTATTGCTCGAGACTACCAGGGGGGTCATCAATCATGATATTGGATTCCAAAGTTACCGAGGCCACGATCCAGGCCACGCTGCTCAATGGATTATCTGGAGTATGCGCTCAGGGCATCACCGCCTACAGGACCAAGGTTAGCTGAAAACTTGTTAATTTGGATGATGATCCTTTTTTGGGCTTTGTTGACTGACTGTGTATTTGCCACGGATCAAAAAGTCGTTCGATGAAGTCGAGCTAGAATCCATTCTGCGATTTGTCATATATTCAGCTCTTGTTACACCCCCCAACTACAAGTGGCAAGAATTCCTGGAACGCAAATGGCCGTCCAGAACAACTATCGATGAACCTTCTTCGGACTCAAAATCGGATTCAAAATCATCGGAAAAGCTCAGCCAGACCGTAGTCAAAGACCGCCTCAACTTAACTAATACGGCAGTCAAGTTCATATTAGACCAGTCGATTAGCGCACCACTTAATACGGTAGCCTTTCTATATCTCATGGGTGGTATGACATTCCAGAGTAATGCTCAGATTTGGAGCAATATCCAGAATGTGAGTCTCCACTGTTCACTGACGAATTGGTTCCAACGGAGGACGGAAGAGGACCAAGCTAACGACCAACATACAGGATTTCTGGCCCATGCTAATTGCGGGATATCGCGTGTGGCCCCTCATTGGGCTGTTGAACTTGAGTGTCGTGCCATTTGACTACCGGCAGCTAGTTGGCAGCACGGCGGGCTTGTTTTGGGGAATTTTCTTGAGTCTGAACAAAATGACATAGAGAGATGGACATCATACAGATACAGTAGCAATTTGGGCGTATAGAGTATACAGTATACTGATGATACCAGAAGAATTCACCATGAGCACGGCATTTGCATTTGACCATCAATTTGTCTTGACTTGTAACGAATGGCACACGGTACTCCGTACCTTGGACAGATGAGGTCATTGCCTACACCCATATTCTCTAGCACAACACATGATGCTGGAATGAGAGTAGTCAGTCGTTTAGGGAAAACAAGTCCGATGCATGCTCCGCTAGCACATCGCCAGGCCATCACGAGAATATTCTGGGTCCACCTACTGTACCCCGGAGCATGCTAAACACTGAACATCTTTAACTCCCACCGCTGTGCAACACATGAATACGAGCACATGTGCGAGACGTAAATGTATTTTATCTACTCCAAGTGAACACGAGACTTGGGATCCTCACAAAATCAGTGTTGCATCCCTAAGTACGACCCTACTCACATCTCATATCCTCCGTATGCCATGACCAAATGCCGAATCCATGCCGGTGCAATGCTTCGGTCCGAAGGGTAAGCTTGTAAATTCCCCTGCAACAGAGTCACGTTCAGTTCATCCGACCCGCATCTGCTCGCCACCACAAAGCGGCCGTACGAGTACACACAACGCCAGGTAATGCTCCGACTTCCATGTTAGCGAGATCTAGTTTAAAAGCAAGGATTCTTCTTCCCAGTGACATTAGCGGCCTTGTTCGTTTTCCGTAAACAGCACAGCGCCTTGGCTAACCCAGCCGCGGCACAGAGAACGCCGTCGTTGAGGGAGGGCGGAAAATGGGTGCTTGTTTTCCACCAACAGATATTTTGTATTTCCGTCGGAAAATCCACCACTTACACGCACGACAACAACATCCATCAGCCTTGTTTAGATGAATACGGCGATTAAAAATGAATTCCATTCAGTAATTCTTGTATTTGGGCGGCTTAATAGCCGAGTAATGCTCCGAGCTGAAAGTTGCGCAGTTTGAAGAGATCCTCATGGTGGTCGGGAGAGGCGCTAAGATCAGTCAAACTGCCAGGGCCAATACTCCAGCAGATACATGGTTTATTTTTGTACAGCTTTTTTTAAATCAAAAGAAGAGAATGAAACATCAAAACACCAATAGTGTAACTGGCTAATGAAATCTCGGAGCAAAAGTTCTTTAGGTTACAGATAGCTTTCGCCTCGCATAAGCGGCAAGACACATGTGCCTACCTATGGGCACATTGGGTAAGAAGAGGTGGACACTGATGCAACTGGCCATACACCAAAGATACAGGGTATTTTGCAGCTTTTGATAATATTTGCCACTCTTGTCGGACCTTTTTAATGCAGAGGCAAAGTTCAATAGTCATGGAGCGGGCTGGCATTAGCGGAATGTGAATACTCGTCGAGTCAAGTGACGATCCAAGATTTTTCACGGGACATTGTTTAGAGAATATCAAAGGAGAATTATCTGATAGTTAAATTATCACGTAGAGGTATCCCATTTAGTTGCCTATAACTCATATAATTTTGACGTTACATCCTTTTAATCAAATCCATGCACCATCTACCGAGTACACACTACCACTGACAAAGGTGCTGTCAGGACCCAATAAGAACAGAACAACCTTGGCAACCTCCTCTGGCTTTCCTTGCCTCTGGAAGGCGGTGGGATCATCAAAGGGGGCGTCTGCAGGGCGTCCAGTCGCGTCCCACGACTGCTGCATCATTGGTGTGTAGATTGATCCAGGGGCCACTGCATTCACCCTCACCTCCCGCTTGCCATACTCCTTGGCCGCTATTCGAGTCAGGCCAACAACCCCATGCTTACTGGCACCATAAGCTCCGTGATAGGCCAGACCTGTCGAATGACTGGGCGTCAGATGATGTGTAAAAGAAATCATGTAACCGAAATGTGCCACTTACCCGTAATGCCTTGGATCGAAGCCATATTGACAATGGAGCCACCGTCTTTGATATTTCGGAGCTCAGCTCTCATGCAGTACATGCACCCGGTCAGGTTCACCGCGATGATCTTGTCCCATTCGTCGTCATCCAGTTCCCCGACCGAATGGATGGAGTGGTGCTTGCCGATGATGCCCGCAATGTTGGCGGCGCCATCCAACTGTCCGAACGTCTTGACAATGCCCTCGATCCAGCCTTCTACCTCTGCCTTTTTCGATACGTCTACCTTGGTTGCTGTGAACTTTGCCCCCTTTTCTTTCAGGTAAGCCTCGGCCTCTGCCAGGGCGGTTGTGTTGACGTCTGCGAAGCACACGATGGCACCTTGCTCAGCCAATAGCTTCACCGTGGCTAGTCCAATTCCGCTGGCACCGCCAGTGACGGCGTAAACCTTGCCTGCAAAGGCCATTTTATGAACTCTCTCTATTCAAGACGTTGACGCTTACACAAAGTTGATTTTGATTGTCTCTGCAGTTGAGATGGGGTAAAAGGCGGCTAAGAAAGAACAACTGGCCGCGAGCTTGATGAGTAGAGAGATGGAGATGATGGATGAGCCAGTATGAATACCTTTGACTCCTAAACACACTATATACCTACAGCGAGGACGGTGAAGCTCTGCGAGATATTGGCGATGCTTTCGATAACTCCATCAGTCAGCAGACTGAACAAGCACAAGTTCACCAATGTGGAGGAAGAGTCTCGAGTGCGGGCAAGCTCCACTGTTTCCGACGCACTATTTGTCTTTGTTCCGCCCAATAATCCGCGGCGTTTTTTCAGTGTAACGGAACAAGTGTATCGTGGAACCTTACTAACCCTCCACGGTGTCTGAAGCCCGGGACGGAAACGGTACAGCCATTTCTTGGCCATTTCTCCGCATCAAAGGCCCCTCCGCGGCTGATATGTGAAATGCATTGTGATACAAGTCATGAGTTTCAATTTGCATTATGAAATGGATATAGAAGTTTCCAATACATTGTCCATTATCTAGATTTTACCCGGAACAATTATCGTCATACTATCTTCATAAAAGAGTCACTGGATATCCTACAATGGGTTGGCAAAGTTTAGTTGTTCACTCTCCTGCGCCACTGGGCCAATCAACGCCGATAGCTACTTGACTTGAACCACGATACCATTTAGTCGCAATGGTTAGAAGCTTCTATGACAACACCGAGGCCTTAGTCCTCGACGGGCTTGAGTCAATTGCCCTGCTCAGGTCAGACATTTCTCTAGACCAAGCAACAAAGAGTATGGTGTTTCCGATGCAGGCTAATCTATGTACTATTGACTAACATTGAACCCAGCCGTCTGGTTGCATGACCGTAAAGGCTCTCAGGTTGCACTGATATCGGGAGGAGGAGCTGGTCATGAGCCTGCCCATGCGGGATACGTCGGAGATGGAATGCTAACGGCTGCTGTTTCTGGATTCGTGTTTGCCTCTCCCAGCGTTGCACAAATTTTATCCGCAATAACCAGAGTTGCTGGTCCAGCCGGGGTGCTGCTCATCATCAAGAACTATACCGGCGACGTATTTCACTTTCGACTGGCGGCTGAGAAAGCGCGAGTTGCTCTTGGAATTCCAGTCGAGGTACTGACCGTTGGGGATGATGTATCCGTTGGTCGTCGCAAGAGTGGAAAGGTTGGGCGCCGTGGTCTTGCGGGAACAGTGCTTGTTCACAAAATCTTGGGAACTTGCAGTCGTGATACTGGTGCACAGCTTTCCAAGCTATTGGAGCTTGGAAATAAGGTTGTTTCGAATCTTGTCACCGCAGGAGTATCACTAGAGCACGTCCAGATCCCTGGTAGAGATGCAATTCCCGCAGCCGTTGACGATCAAGTCGAACTTGGAATGGGAATTCATAACGAACCAGGCTGCCTCCTTCTGAACCCTCGACCGCCGCTAGCAAACATTATTGATATGATGCTGGATCAGCTCCTAGACACCAAGGATGAAAATAGAGCATATGTTGACTTTGCCGATGCCCAGCATGTTGTCTTGATGGTCAACAACTTGGGTGGCCTTTCTCCCCTCGAATTTGGTGGCATCACTGGTAAAGTAATTCAAGCATTAAGTAAGTCAAAAGGCTTTTGTTTAATTGCAAGCTATGAGACTAATTCTCTATCACCTTCTTAGAAACCCGCAATATTGTGCCTACCCTCGTTCTCTCCGGGACATACATGACGAGCTTGAACGGACCAGGGTTTAGCATAACGCTTCTAAAGGCAACATCAGAGATGGTTGGATACTTGGAAGCCCCTACCACTGCCACTGGATGGGGAGCTCTCGATGTCAGCCGCTTACATGACAAGCCTCCTACCGAAGCAGTGGCTCAGGTCAATTTAGAGGACGGCCACACGAAGATTGTTGAGTCATCTGGCATCGCATGTAAGTGGCCAATCTATCTCTAAAATATCAAAAAATATTCACTAACCTATTTCTGACAGTTGACTCTGCAACCTTCAAACGCGTAATCCTCCGATCATGTCAGAATGTCATCGATGCAGAGCCACTCATTACTCAATATGACACTCTCGTAGGAGATGGCGACTGCGGAGTGACCTTATCACGAGGCGCAAGAGCCGCGATGAGTCGCGTAGATGAAATATCCGATCCAAACGACGTGGTCAGCACAATAAACAAACTGGCCGGCATCATGGAGACCGATCTTGATGGAACTTCGGGAGCCATATATAGCATCTTCTTCACAGCATTAGCTGCGGAACTGCGTGCAACGACATCAAGCTCTATGAGCCACGAGGCTTGGGTTCAAGCAGCGAACAGGTCTCTTGAGAAGCTGCAGCAGGCCACACCCGCTCGACAGGGTGATAGAACACTTATGGATGCGCTGGAACCGTTCATCAAATCTTTGGTTCAAGGGAAATCGCTCGCTGATGCGGTTGCCGCGGCGAAAGCTGGTATGGAGGCTACAAAGGGCATGAAGGCGTCTTTAGGACGTGCCGTATATGTGCCTGAGAACGTATGGGATCAGGTGCCAGATCCTGGAGCACAGGGAGTCGTTTGTATTTTGGAAGGGATTGAAGCCGCGATTATTGAGTGAGGAGCCTGAAATTTCTTCCTTAAAAGCAGATAGATTCACAAAGTAGACCTCAATGTAATGCAGATCGCCATCACATTTTGTCCAATACTTGCCGTTTGTAAGCCAAGTACATTAACTTATATATGCACAACCACACGTCAGAGCCGCTCCAATGATTCTAGACGCAAAAAAGACAATGGCCTTCTTCAAGTATGAAACAGAGAGTGTGAGAACCTCAGTAGCATGGCATCGACTATCCTTAAACAAGTGAATTGAGTCATTCTATATAACTAGATTTACAATGTGTTTTCTATCTGTTCAATATCCGACAGGTACAGTTTGTGCAGCGCTGTCCAGTTTTCTTCCGGCAGTCTGCCCTTCAGTGGCAGTCTACCACCCTCAAGAGCTCCCAACCCAGTCTTACGGATGATACCCTCACGGATACCAATGATTCCAGTCTTCCCAATAAACTCTTCGGCACGGCTAACCGCGAATTGTAGTCGTCGAACCTCGCTCAGGGCATCTTCTGTGAAAGATGTATTGTTTGCCAGAGCCATGAGCCTGACCACCGTCTTGGGATAAAAGGCAGCCAGGCCATCAATCACACCCGCGGCGCCAAACAGAACAATTGGACCAAGCTGTTGACCGAAACCGCTGTACACCCGGAATGTACTGTGATCGATCTGAGGGTCATTGGATACTTGGACGTGGTAAGAAACATCTCCGTGCGACCTGGTTGTCACATTTCAGGTTAGGGGGGCCCATGACTCGGAACAGAAACGGAAAATAGGATCAAAGGGCAATCAAGACGCACATTTTACATCCGACGATTTTCGGGTGCTTAGCCAGTACTCTGTAAGTATCCGGTTCCGCGATAAGCCCATTCGTTACCCCCGGATAGTTGTATCTGGCTTCAGTCAGACCCTTGCACACACGGGACGCGAGAGATGAGGCGCAGAACAAACTCACATCAAAATGGGGATCGGGCTGCGATCTGCAACCAAAGTAAACCAGTCAATAAGGTTACTTTGATTCACAGCCTTTCCGAAATAGCCAGGCGCCAGGACCAACCCCCACTGGGCTCCAGCCGCTGCGTAGTCCTCCAGCCATTCGAGCGTCTCTTCGGTGCTGTTTGTAAGCACCCCAGCCATTATCGGATAATTTTCGAAGCCAGCGTCGTTCAGCCCAGCCCGAACTCCGGCAACGAGGTCGGCTCTCTCCTTCCGGGAGAGATGGATGGCCTCGCCCGTTGATCCGAGGATGGTCAAGCCCGTGATGCCAGCCTTGGCCAGAAACACGGTGTGAGCCACCTGAGTTTCGATATCGACCTTGGGCTCGAGAGCACCGCTCGAATTGGCAGCTGATTTGAAAAAGGTTGGGACCGGGACAAAAACGCCCGGCGGCGGTGCTGTCTGAGAGGCGGCCATTTCTGCAGCTGGACGGGTGAGAGTGATGCTGTAGGACTCTTGACAGATGCCAAACCGCTGCCTTTTATTGAAGGAGATCAAAGTATCACGAGTCTTCAAAGCTGTCCCTCATCCCATCTTCAGAGCGTCCTCCCACTTCAAATAACTCCCCTGTCGGAGGATCATCGGACCTGGACTCTCGGGCCACACTCTCCCGGCCCCCAGCTTCACCCCCCACACGACACTCGATTCCCCCTCTCTGCTTTTCCGTGTCCGGAGAGCAACGGGAATGGTGGGGGGCGAAGCATTTGATCAAGCGGGGGACCCTGTTGCCCGAAGAGGTAAGCCGTGGCAGTGTGTGGAGTTCCGCGGCGACATGGCTGTGCTATGTTTCTCCCTTGTTTTTCGCCGTGGGCCTGGTAGTATACAAGCATGTAAAGGTTCCAGATGGCACGAGTGAAAGATATTCTTTTCACCGACATTCATTTGAAGGTCTGAGCGTGATTGTGACTGTTACTTGTATTGGAATTTGCGGCAGAACGACACCATGGCGAGAATCAAGTCTATGGAATACTTTCGCGTCCCGCCTCGTTGGCTGTTTGTAAAAGTCACTGACGAGGACGGGAATGTCGGCTGGGGTGAAGCCTCGCTAGAGGGACATACGCAGGCAGTCGAGGGATGTTTAGATGCGTGGTTTGAGAAGTTCAAGGGCCACGATGCCGAGTATGTTTCATCGAATCTGGTATATTAGACCAAACAGGAAAGACGCATGCTTACCAAATCCGTTACAGTGAGATTGAGCACATCTGGCAAATGGCATGGCGCACTGGGTTTTATCGCGGCGGGCCAGTTTTTATGAGTGCGCTTTCTGGAATCGACATTGCACTATGGGATTTGAAAGGTAAATGAGAATAACGAAAAGAAAGAATTATGAAATGAGAATTTTTTACCCTCTCATCTGCGAGCCAGCTTGAAGCTAACTTACATCTAGGCAAGAAACTTGGCGTCCCGATATACCAGCTCCTTGGAGGCAAAGTGAGACACAAGCTCAAAGTATACGCCTGG